GAATCTCCCTTCGACGACGCGGTCTGCTCGGCGATCGCCATGCCGTGGAAATACGCGACGCCGCTGTGACGGACTCGACGAAAACGAACCGGGACAGGCGAATCCGGAAATCGAGAAGAAGAAGAAGAGAAAGAAGGAGGAGAAGGAAAGAAGCGGAAGGAAGTAGCTGGTTGTGTCGGTAGCTGGTGGTGGGTGTAGGAGGTGAAGGTGGTTGCTTGCCGGCTAGGCTGTTTTTGTAGGATAATCTAAGCAACCTGGCGGACCAGAAGGAAGGTGGCTCGACGATGCAGGGCAAGGAGAGCCCCGTCGGGTCCAACACCCAGGAGACCCATCAGTACGTTGGCCCTTATCGACTGGAGAAAACTTTGGGGAAAGGGCAAACCGGTGCGTGCATCCGATTTACCGTATTAAGATAAACGTTCTTCTTTATTCGCAACGTTAACCGAAATCGAATCGAGTTAGTCGAGTTTCGATCGATCGTCGAGATAACGGATCACCGATGTCCTTCTAATAAATCCTTGGGAAGAGGGCAAGGCGGTGCGTTATGTTTTATACGAAGATAAACGTCGAATTAAGTTCGGTGAAGCGTCGATAGAACGAATACGCTATTTAGTAGTATTTAATTATTCGAGATAAAAATTCATTCTAATAAATAATCTATTGCCTAACTTCGAAAACGTTGCTCTAGAATTTTCTGACCGACGTTGCATCAGCAGAGTGTACACGAACCGCTTTTTTTCCTTATTGAAAAAACCGACGAGCCATTGCGGCTTCGCTCGTGTATACATTAGGATGTTTCAAAGATAAGCGAGTAAACTTTGCCGTTATGGTCTATGAGTGAATATAAGAAAAAGGTGTTACATAAACAAAGACGCGAAACGTATTATAGCAGAAGTTATACCAAAAATATTTGAATAAAAAAGCACCGGGAAGCTTGGATCATTAAAGGTGATCAATTCGAATTATATTATTTTCAAGATAAATTTCCAAAGTTTAGGAAAATAATTAATCGTTTAATCGAGTAATTAAGGAAATAATGGTATAATTAGAAAGAAAAATCACCTTATAAACACACTTTTCATGTACTTTTAATGCAATTTCTACTTCGAACGATGTCAAGGACGAATTGAACTTCTATACGAGCAAATCACTCGAACGGTAAAAAGGAAGAAGATTAAATGTTCGCTGATTCGATCTTCCGCAATAAATTGAAGCAATCCCAAGCAATTTCTAATATAATATGACTCGAATGAAACGAAAAAAAAACGTTGGAGTATATTAAAAACGTAGGATGGGAAATGCTAACCGATACGAGCCGCTAAATATACACTATAATTACTTTGTAGACGAGCGAGAATAGTCTTTCCAAGGCTTCCATCATTTACCGAAGCGAAAAAAAATTTTAAGAATTTTCAACTATCCCGGTCCCTAAAAAACCGCCTCCGCTTCCGCGATATCTTCTCAGCATACATACACACATACATACATATATGATTTCATTTAACGCGGTCAAGTACGAAACGAAACATAAAAGAGTTCCTTTACCGCTACATACAGCACATTCTCATCCTTGTATTACCACGTGTTGTATCTCCGCGCCTTACATCGCCCTTTCTAAATCGTCACGCGTTAAATCGCTATACACTAGATTGCCTCGCGCGAAATTGCACGCGTCAGAACGCCGCTACCGTCTCCACGGAAATAAACGTATACCATTTATGCAAATTATCAACCGCGCAAAAGATAATTACGCGCTACCGAAACTTACCGCAAACCGTTAGAAAAGAGCAGCTCGTATCTGGAAAGATTCCAGCGTTCAATTTGCGATCAAAATGCAAGAACGCGATACGATCAATCGACTCTCGAAATGCTGCGCGTTCGTTGTGACGAACGAAATGTCCGATACGCAAACACGTTCGATCCAGATTAATGATTCTACTTGAAAATTATTGCCCACTAAATTAACAAACTGCACCGTTCTGCCGTGGACAGAGATTAATTCACCTGTTCGTTTGTACATTGTTACACCACCTTTGGCATCGTCCTGCTATGTATCAAAATAGACAGATGCTTTTTCATTGTGCTTTTATAGAATGTCGTTGTCAAGCGTCGATGGTTTCTCGGAAAAAATTTACCCGACGGCTAATTAAATCGTTTCCTCTGACGGCTGCTACACAACTGATTGAACAAATAAATTTCAACCAACGCTTGTTATCGCTTCGTAATTAACCTTCTAAATATACATACATATTCAGTAGTTTTCTATATAAAAATGATTTAAAATCTGAACCGTTAATATTGGTTTTTCGAGAACAAAATTTTCATTCGATCAATGTAACGCAAAGTCGCGAGTTTTCGAATTTCCAAATTATGACGAATCTAATTTGGTATCTTCGCTGATGAAGTTTTAATCGATTTTTGAACTAATTAGGGAACACGAATGTCGAGCGATAAAGTTTCGAAATTTCGAACAATTTATAAATTAACAAGCTATCTTCGTTGATGAAATGTTAAACTAATTAGTGCGTCAAAGTGAAAATTCGAATTTCCGGATTTTTAACTCGTTTAAAGTGCGTACAATAGTTCGGTATTCGATAATCAAGTTATTCACTGTTACACACAATTTCGCTCAAAGTTATTTACCTATTTAAGATGAAAGTCTAAGAGAGAACTTTAGATTGATAAATTAGTATTAGTCATTCTTCTTCTAATCGTTTATGAAATTTATATACAATTATTATTATTATTAGAGATATTAAACGAACGAAACTATCTTAAAACTCGATTCATAGCTACCCTGCTAGAATAGACGATGTAAAAAACAATAGTCGGGGTAACTAGGTGTATGTGACAGAGCTTCGTTGACTTTTCGATAAGTAAAATCGTGTTCGAAGCAACGAGGAGCGGTAAACGAGTAAAAACGTAGAACACGATCTGAAAAGTAAATAAGTAAAAGCGTAATAAGTAAACGGTAGCGATAATCGGTGGGAGCGTTTGAACGGTAAGGCCGGTAGCGCGCAAAGCGGTCAGCGTTACGAAGAAACGCGTTCGCCGCGAAAGAAAGAATACGCTTTTCATTCGTCGCGTGCACGGTTTTCCATTCTTCGTCGACTACCACTGTGCACCAGTGAACTCTGCCTGACGAACAAAGCGCTCCAAAGAGACAATCGTCGAGACTTGCCCGACAGAATAACAAGATTCAACGAGAATCAACGAACCAGGCGAACGACAATGTTCGTTCGCTCTGATATTGTTTTTGACGGGGAAAACGCGTTTACGCCGAATAATAATGCTCTTTCTTCCAGGGTGTTTCGAACTTGACCATTCGATCGAGCCGATTTTCTACCTTGTCTTATAGCACCTGACTAATCCTCTCGTTTCAGATTCTCTTTACTTTACTGTTAATCGTCTATTAATCCATCAAGATTTTGACGTTTAATCGTGTTATTCGATCGTTTTCGAAGAAATCACCCCGACAAACGAACGAAAATTCTTCGAGACACAAGTATCGTGTATTTTGCTTCGCGTCTCGGTACAACTCGCAATTCCATTATCTTGTCCTGTTTCTCGTGGAATTTCGACCCGAAACAGAATTCGCCGGTAAATTAATGCAACCCGCTGTCGAGCTACGTAAAATGAGTTTCTATGAAACAATGGCGCGTCGAGTTTCGTTTAGAACGAAATTCGACTGGCACAGTAGCAATAGCCGTATGTGCTGCGACAGTCGAGAACACGAATTATTATTAACGCGTTCACTATCGTAGCGGGAATAACCACGAGTAGTACGACACGTGTCAATGACAGTTATTCAGGATACGATCGTTTTAATTGTCAATCGAATCTCTGCAAATTTTCGTATCCTTCCTCGCGTCGCTATTATAATAATGACACATTGATTGACATAATAAAATGACCGCGTGTGATACCGTAAATTATATAAATATCTTATAAATGTAATTTCGTTCGGTGGTACGATGATGTTATACGCATGCAATCGGACCGTATCTGGCGCATAGAAATTCGGTTGATTCGTAACGAGATCGACGGTAGCAGTGAAATTATTATAATTCCCTTCATAATACTACAAAAGCAACGATACTTAACCGCACACGTAACACGTAACGAACATTTGATCCTACGAATACGCGTTCGAGAATGCAAGAAGAATCAGTAGCTCGCAGGGCGTGACGCGCCTAATCGATACGATCGAACGCTATGCGGTAAAAGGAATTTCGCCATTTTTCCATCGATTTCCATCATCTCATTTCGCGATCTTATCCCTAATATTTCACAAGCATTTTCTTACGAATAAAATATGTGATTAACTCTATGACTTTAGAATTGGCTAATAGAGAAGAAAAATCTTTCAAATTTTCCATCCCTCTCTACAATTTTATACTTTTCATACTTTTAAACGGATTAGGAAAAATTAATTCGTCTGCATTATCTAAAAGATTCGAGCGATTAATTAATACATACGTAAAAAAGAAATGAAATATTTTAGAAATGTTAAACAAAGAAATTTATGCGATTACGTTTTACCGTTCGGTAGAGAAACAGAAATGGCGAGATTCTTAAAATATCGAAACGCCCAAGGTATCGAGGGTTGCAGACAAAAATCGAATTTCCCTTCCCTCGTTCATGATCGGAAATAAACGCTTCCGGGGTTCACTATTTCATGTACGATTCCTCGATTGAAAAGTACGCCGCGCGCGCGCTCGAATAAACGCCTCGTCTCGTTCCCAGATTAACTTCGAAGCTCCAGACTAAAATACACGCTGGAATCTCCAAGACTCCGGCTATGAATAATCAGAATTCTCTTCCGAATGAATCGCGGACGTTTATATACGGAATCCACCTCTCGAACAAGAATTCATCTTTTGATGCTTATTATTAACATGAAATTTAATTCGCGTTATTAATTTCCGAGTTATCGACAAGTTTTGAAACGTATTAATCCAGCTTAATTGACGATAACGAGAGAACTTTTCTCGAGAACATCAAAGTTCATAATAAATCGTGTACATCATTTATCAGTTTTACCGTTCGGTTTACAATTGATCGTACCAAAAAATCATATGTTGCAAATTACAAGTTATTTAAACTCGATGATTTGTCGAGAAAGTTGTTCTTAAAAAATCTATTCGACGTTACGTTACCTGACTCGATTAACGGAGACTTAATCAAGCGAACCGTATTAATTTTTCGATACCGATCAAATATTCTCGCGTTGTTTAACAAGTTTCGTCAACGACGCTTCGTTAAAAGTTCTTAAAGTGTTCTTAAAGTGTAGAAATAGATTACTCGAGGGAAAACACGAGGGATAGAGAGAAAGAAGAACGGCTAGAAACTTTTCGCGATTTACCAAACGTTGAGATATTATAAAATTCGCCAGCGAGCCAACTTTTTTCCCATAGAGACAATTCAGACTACTTTGGCTGCCAAAAATCCTTGAGAAATTGCGCATCCCCTATTTTCGAATTCCCTTATTGTATTACAGCAACGCGGAAATCGCTGGTTATCGATTACCGTCTTTTTTCAAACAATATTTCGCAACATATATCATCCCTACAAAATGGGGTACATTATATATAAATTAAATAATACAGCCATCGACACAGATATTCGAGTTCTTAAATGAAACATAAAACGAGAGACGGTAGTGACGAAAAATTAGGTTGCAAGTGCAATTATTTACTTAGTTTCGAATTAATAATTAATAATTAAAGTTTCGAAAGATCGGCATTTACAATTGTTGGAAGAAAAGTTGCTGGACCGGTCAATTTCGTATAGCGATCGGAAGAAATAAAAATGTAGAATTTTTCTGAATCCATCGTCGAATCCTTCGGTGATTTTCGGCGTTTCGACCTTTCAACCATCGAGACCCTCAATTACGGCCGTTCCTCCGCGTGTTTACCTACTCGAGATATCAAACGACAACTGGCAGACTGTTTTACATGGCGCATAATTAATCGGCGAGTACTCTCTCGTTCGTGAAATTACTTTTCAACCACTACGGAGATACCGATGTCAAACGCTTGTTAAGGAATGCCAAGTGGCACTGTGTCGCGTGCGTGCTTTCGCTTTTCATTAAGCAGCCCGAAATTCAACCAGTGAAAAGTATCCACGAGTGTTTCGCGATTACGGAAATTACGCTCCAGCCGAAAACGAGAAACTTCAACTTCCGCGCTCTTTCATTTTTCGTGCTTATTAAGGAAAACATGAACGAGACCTCGAGGCTCGACTCGAATTTCTGCCGTTTTAAATAGAACAACCGATTTGTAACGGAAGTACTCTTTGCAACGGAAGTACAGAGTCAATATCCTAGAAATTTTGACAATTTTTCCAAAGCAACTGCTTTCGAACGAAAACAAAGCGATCACGAACATCGTAAATTCAGTCTCGTGAAAGATCAACACTTCGAAGATCTTCGAAACTTGTAAAAGCTTGCAATTTCGAACGAAGCGATACGCGAGTATTTTACGAATTTCGCTTATTCCGCAACTTAGACGCATCCTGTTATCCGTAAATTATATCGGCAGGCAGAGATTAATGATGTTTTTAAAGCGAAAGCTTACGATATGGCCATTCGTAACGGTAAGAAGAAGAGGAAAGTGTAATAGAAATAGATGGTACGAAGATGGAGTAGCAAGGAAAAGCGGATTTTATAGGAGCGAGTAAATTGGCTTAAATCGTCTCCGAAGACCACAGCACAGCAACGCGATGTCTTTATCCATTTAAATGCAGTCGCTCCGCCAGACTCTTCTTTTCTTTTGTTCTTCGAGTAGACGAACACGAAAGAGAAATAGAGGAAGGTAGAGAGAGAAAGAGAGAGAGAGAGTGATAGAGAAGAAAAGAGGAAGAACGATAAAAGAATCGTAGCTCGTTGTGTCGGCGATGACGCAGAAGAATCGACGAGAACGCCCTTCGCCAATTAATTAATCGAATGCCCTTTCCGCGAGTCGGCTTTCACGATTTTTCCGGTGATTACAATTTCTCTTCCAATTTATTGAGCATTTCATAACGCTCCAGACGATTCTCCTTTGTTCGACGTTAAGCGCGACCTACCTGAGCCACGACGATATTCAACCCTGATAAATTGCAATTTTACAACGAACCAGCTCCGATGGAAATTACCGAACGATCCGCGCGCATTATTCTTAATTAATTGGTAAATTCGCGCGCGTCCGCTAACGCGAGCGCGATCGCTGACGTCTTTTCTTTCTCGGTGAAAAACGGCCATACGCGATAACACGCGTTAATGCGCGAACAATTTTCAAAGCCGAGCATTTAAATCAACGTCGTTTAAATTTCACATCGGCAATAACGTAGAACGCGGATAATGCATAAGCACTTAGTTGAAATATACGAAAAGTTTGGTAAGAATGACGAAAGTACGAAACGCGTAATACACAACGATCATGGCGACGGGAAATTTTGGCACGGGTCGATGAGATGGAAATTCTGTGAAGGGTGTCGACTGGTCTCGCTTCCCAACAAATCGGCGGGAATTGCATTAACGGCACTGTAGGGTGTTAAAGTGCACTTTCCCTAACGACTTGCATCACGCACGATTTACCGCCATTGACGCTAGACATCCTTTCCTCTCCGCGAATCAATCTCTCGCGAATTTACATTTCAAACGTTTTCTAACCAACTTATCCCTAACGATCGCGACTACATATTTCCCCGATATTTTCAAAGTATTTCGCGCAAACTTTCGACGCGTTTCTACCGTTCTCGATACATCAATAATGGATACGAAACTTTCTCCTCTGTCGAATAATATTTTTTTAAAGTAAACTATCGGTAATTTTCTGTTATAATTTTCTGTTGGATCTCGATCCTTCTCGGTGACTAATACGCGCAAAAATCCGTGCGGCGATGGCGCTATAAGGGGAGAGAATTAACGAACGATTAATGCAATTTCCAGCCAGGAACTTCTCGTTTCGTAAAACAGTCTATTACTATACAAAGCGGCCGAAAAGCGGCAAATTATCGGGCATGTACCGTAATTGTATCTCGAGTAAGCGAGCTTGTGCACGCACGTTTTATTATGTAGAACAAAGAAGCCTCGTACTATAAAGTACTACTCGCAACTACCTAACTCGACTAAATGTGTGCCATACCGTCGATCTTTGTCACGACGTTGAATTTTTGTTCGTTCCCATCCACGAACAATGGTAAATGCAACGCGAGGCAGCATCGACTAATCGTATCGCGACGTGACCGAGGATACGTCGAACGGTATAATTAAATCGAAAGCTAACGGATGTTAAATCGTAGTTGCGCGAATTAACTCTTTGCGAGCGAAGCAATTTTAAACACGATGCCATGTATCCGCGCACCGTCAAATAACACGCTGTTACGTGATCGAATGGTCGTTTTCAAATTTAACGCGAAGGAAAAAGCAATAAATAAATTGATTTGTAGCTAGCGACAACCGAAAGGGTGTTGAAAGCTAAAAACCTCTGAATAAAAAAAGGTTTGAGCCTCGAAGAAAATGGTAACAGCTCGGTAAAATCGACAGGTTTAGAACGAGAAAGTGAAAGCACACCAGTACAAAGCGGTCTTCGACTTCATAATTCATCGATTCAAATTGTCATCCGATATTCTGGAAATAACGACGAGAGGATTTATTTTAAACGCTGCTTTCTTCCGAGCTCTGTCACGGTCGACGACCCACGACAATATGCAAATGTAACGGTGGAAGTTCGTTTTTCGTGTTCGCGACGTGGCCGCGCTCGACAACGAAATCGAATCGAAATATCTCGATATTTCACGAATTGCTCGCTTCATCGAATTCTCTTGAAATTCGCGAACGACGCGACGCAACGTTCCGCGCGACTGTCACAGCTTTATCGGGAAATTATTATCGACACGAACCAGACGTGCCTATTTTAATTTCCTACGATTTCTTTGTTGTCGAAAAATATCTATGCTACGGTAGATGCACGCGAAAATGTACTAAATTTCCTAGCTAACGAATACATTTAGTAATGGAATTGTTAAGTAGCGCGTAATAATAATAATAATAATAATAATAATATGAAAAAATATAATAAAATTATTCGAAAGAAGTCGCTGGATTTCACGAAGGACCTATGGTTTCTACGATGTACAAGCGTTTTAAGACGTGTGTGCAACATTAGCAAAGCTTGACAGGAAGTCAAAGTTTTTGCTGGGAAAATTTTCGTGATTTAGTAAGCGAAAGCAACTCGAAACTACTCGAGTAAAACCCCCGTGTTTGCCTGTCGAAGTAGTACCGTATGTACACATCGAGATGTCCCTGACGAGTGACTCAGACCCTGAAAACCATCTCCTGTAACTCAAATATGTCCCCTGAATAGTGCTACGTGTCCGTTTCCTTTATGGCTCTCGATCGAATCGTCTTTCAAAACTTTCCCCGTCACATGATAGAATTACAGAGCGCAACACCCTTTCATCTAAACAGAAGTCAAATGTAAGAGATCCGAAGTTTATCGTCTTCGCGTTTTTGTCCTTTGGAAATAAAAGTATTCGATAAAAGAGCGAAAAGTTACGGCGTTATAACGCTCCCTAACGATGTTACGCGTAACGAACAATTCGCTGTTCTTTTCGTTGATCGAAATCCGTTTAAGAGAAGAAACGAATCGAATTTCGTTCGATAAATTAAACGACGTTGCTCCTTTCCCATTTACGCCGACAAAAGAGCCAAGCAGAAAGAACGAAGGTACTCTTTTGCATAAGAAGCTCCGTTTGCTGCGACTTTATTTTGTCACAGCTTCTTAAATATTCTCTCGATATAAATTGTCCGACTAAAAACGATTCTACCACTTCGTTTCCAGTGACTCGACGCTTCGAAGCTCAGACGTTCGCCGTGAAATCGGTGATAAATCCGACGCTGCTCGAACTTGATCAGTTTATTGCGACAATTCGAATTTTATTCGTTCCATACCGTTGAAAAGCTTCTACTTGTATACGAAACAACTGAACACGTCTACAAAATATGAATAAATAAATAATGAATAGCTGTATTTACCGAAATTATAAAATTTATTTTGGAAGTCGGTCGTTCGATACGCAACGATTATCGTCTATTTGCGTAGAAAATAAAATAATCTGTTCCAGGATTGGTGAAGCTCGGGGTCCACTGCGTGTTGGGCAAGAAAGTGGCTATCAAGATCATCAACCGGGAAAAATTGTCGGAGTCCGTGTTGATGAAGGTAGAACGAGAGATAGCTATCATGAAACTGATCGATCATCCTCACGTGCTCGGCCTGTCGGATGTATACGAGAACAAGAAATACCTGTAAGTACCCCCGAAAAGGAAAGAGAGATTCGAATTTTTCACGAATTTTTCCGCTCGCGAGCGAGTCGACGGAAGCTCTTGGTCGAGTTTCATCAAGCTCGAGGAGTCGTTGAACTTTAATTCAGCCGTTCGGAAAAAAAGAAAGAAAGAAAGAAAGACAGGAAAATAGGAGAGAAGGAAAAACAGTGAAATCTACACGCTAGACAAAAAGTGTTTTAGTCACGGTGGCTGACATGGAAATCCACGGTTGAAAAGATACGAATGCACGGCGACTGAAATTGCACTTGTTCCCTTTCAGATATCTCGTTCTGGAACACGTTTCCGGCGGGGAGCTTTTCGACTATTTAGTGAAAAAAGGTAGACTAACGCCGAAGGAAGCGAGGAGATTTTTTCGGCAGATCATTTCTGCGTTAGATTTTTGTCATAGCCATAGTATATGGTGAGTAACCAAACTATCGATTTATTTCGCGTTTCGTTCGCGTCCTTGAAACAGAAAGCGTCGCGTGCATGCCGTGTTTTAACCCTCTGTGCACCGTTCTAATAATTGCTACGCTCCGACCGTTTCGGTTTACCAACTTCGAACTTGCGATTAAATAATACGAACGTACGTCGATCTAACGGATTATACGGTCGATGACGGTACTTTATATACATCCAAGATAAAATTAGCTTTCTTACGAACTACGGCAGCCTGTTGCTTAAATTACATCGAACAAATACGCGTCGATGTAAAGTAAATGACAAGGCGCACGGGGGTCGGGTAAACTTAATCGGTAATAGTCCCGTTGAAAACACGATAAACGTCGAATTTTTATCGAAATTCTGAATGCTGTACGAGGCTTTCCAATCCTAAGTAAACGTACTTTTATCTCCGCACCGCAATAACGTTTCGACTAAACGTAAAACAAACAAAACACATAAAAACGTAGCAAATTACCTACAGTTACTTTGCCGTCAACAGATTCGATTTATTAACTTCCCTCCTACCCCATACGCTTCCTCTCTGGCTATTCAATTTATCGCTAAATTCAATCCGACCGAATGTCCATCGATTTACCCGACTAAAAGGGACGAAAACGTAAAAAGAGTAGACCCGAACAATGCTATGAAATTTCTTTCGGTTGATTCTTTAACGTATTTCACCCGGCAGCGCAGGCACAAACCCAAACAAACGATAACCCGTGTTACTCTTTCGTTTCGAAAGGCGCGTAAATTTTCGTCAACTCTTAAATTTACTATTGTACAAGCTCTATCGTATCGTGATTCACGAATTCTACCCTCTCGCGTCGATGTAACGAGAACGTCTACCGTGAACACGTTAGTTCAGATATAATAAAAAATCGAAACATCGAATAACGCCGAGGAAAAAAGAATAGACAGTGATACGATTCGGTAGATGCGGCGATATAGCCCGCGCGTGCACTGCCGGGTTAACGACTCGATAATAGAAGCAGAAGAAGAGAATGTAAGGCACACACACTGAGAGAAAACACGAGGGGATTCCCAAAGGTCTCTAGTTGGCATTCGGGTAACCTACCCCAATCGAATAAATACAGAAACGAACCTAATTTCGCCGGAAGGGGACACCGTGAAACATTGCCTTCGATCGATCGAGCATTTAAATTAGTTCACCCTAAAACCGTAGGCGAGACTAACGTTTAGTCTAGTTCGATGAATGAACCGGTCGATAAAAGTTTACCGGTTTCGCAGTCACAGAGACTTGAAGCCTGAAAATCTGTTGCTGGACGAGAAGAATAATATTAAGATCGCGGATTTCGGGATGGCGTCGTTGCAACCTGCTGGATCAATGTTAGAAACTAGCTGCGGTTCCCCTCATTACGCCTGTCCCGAAGTCATTCGGGTAAGATTCACCTTTAATTTCTTTCTGAATTTCTATTTAATTATGTGTATTTCGACGACCGAAACGGTCGCAAACGATCGGAACGATTTTATTTAGGTTAATATTCGATCGATAGCTAAACATAAAATACAGTCGTAAAATAGAGCCGAGAAAGCAAGTGTAACCTAGTAAATTTGAACCACGGACTCGTAACTCGTAACTTTCGTTAATAAAGAAAATTAATTTCGCGTATCCCTCTTATCGGCGAAACCAGCTAGACGAATTATTGTCTCGCCTTTAACAAAGCCTTCCTCCAGCGAGGAAGTTAATTAAAAAAGGGGAAGAGAAGTAGGAAATAATGGGTGATTTTCAGGGTGAAAAGTACGACGGGAGGAAAGCGGACGTTTGGTCGTGCGGGGTGATACTTTACGCGCTTCTGGTAGGCGCGTTGCCCTTCGACGACGACAATTTAAGAAACTTGTTGGAAAAAGTGAATCGTATCGTGATTCACGAATTCTACCCTCTCGCGTCGATGTAACGAGAACGTCTACCGTGAACACGTTAGTTCAGATATAATAAAAAATCGAAACATCGAATAACGCCGAGGAAAAAAGAATAGACAGTGATACGATTCGGTAGATGCGGCGATATAGCCCGCGCGTGCACTGCCGGGTTAACGACTCGATAATAGAAGCAGAAGAAGAGAATGTAAGGCACACACACTGAGAGAAAACACGAGGGGATTCCCAAAGGTCTCTAGTTGGCATTCGGGTAACCTACCCCAATCGAATAAATACAGAAACGAACCTAATTTCGCCGGAAGGGGACACCGTGAAACATTGCCTTCGATCGATCGAGCATTTAAATTAGTTCACCCTAAAACCGTAGGCGAGACTAACGTTTAGTCTAGTTCGATGAATGAACCGGTCGATAAAAGTTTACCGGTTTCGCAGTCACAGAGACTTGAAGCCTGAAAATCTGTTGCTGGACGAGAAGAATAATATTAAGATCGCGGATTTCGGGATGGCGTCGTTGCAACCTGCTGGATCAATGTTAGAAACTAGCTGCGGTTCCCCTCATTACGCCTGTCCCGAAGTCATTCGGGTAAGATTCACCTTTAATTTCTTTCTGAATTTCTATTTAATTATGTGTATTTCGACGACCGAAACGGTCGCAAACGATCGGAACGATTTTATTTAGGTTAATATTCGATCGATAGCTAAACATAAAATACAGTCGTAAAATAGAGCCGAGAAAGCAAGTGTAACCTAGTAAATTTGAACCACGGACTCGTAACTCGTAACTTTCGTTAATAAAGAAAATTAATTTCGCGTATCCCTCTTATCGGCGAAACCAGCTAGACGAATTATTGTCTCGCCTTTAACAAAGCCTTCCTCCAGCGAGGAAGTTAATTAAAAAAGGGGAAGAGAAGTAGGAAATAATGGGTGATTTTCAGGGTGAAAAGTACGACGGGAGGAAAGCGGACGTTTGGTCGTGCGGGGTGATACTTTACGCGCTTCTGGTAGGCGCGTTGCCCTTCGACGACGACAATTTAAGAAACTTGTTGGAAAAAGTGAAGCGCGGTATGTTTTACATACCGCATTTCGTGCCACCCGAGTGCCAGAATCTTCTGAAGGGAATGATCGAGGTCGATCCGGACAAGAGGCTAACGGTAAGAGGCGTTCGAGGGGATTCGAGGTTCGATTTTAATTTGCCTCGATCAGGACGAAAGCTAATCCCCGATTCCCTCAGCTGGCGGAAATAAATAGGCACGTGTGGGTGACGGCGGCGGGCAAGGGCGAATTGGAACTGGAACTGTCGATGATGGACGTGGTACAGACTCACGTTATTCCGTCCGTGGAAGCAATCGATCCAGACGTGTTGCAGGCGATCGCGAGCCTCGGCTGCTTCAAGGAACGGGACAAACTTATCCAAGAACTCCTCAGCCCGAAGTAAGACATTAAATCGTTGCTTTTCATCGTGTACTAACCACGCTCTTATCGCGACAGTCAGCTTCGACAACTAGCTAAACATCGCTAAGTGCATCGAATTAACCACTATCCACAACGAATACGTTAACTTTTCATTTAACGAAACGGTTGTCCCTCGATTTATTTTCTCGGAATATTAGTGTATATGTATAAAATTTGTTTGCTCCGCGTTCGCACCTTCACGTTCGTACGTTTTCCTTTCCACAGCCACAATACAGAGAAGGTGATATATTTCCTGTTGCTCGAGAGGAAACGCAGAAGACCGGCGTGCGAGGATGAACTAGAAGTAATGAGAGGAGGAATGCGAGGTTCAGCGGGACAATTGGAGGCGGATCCACCGAGGAAACGAGTAGACACGTGTCGAGTGAACGGAAGTACAGCGCTGAATCTCGGAGAAATCAGCCATGGATCTCCTTTGACTCCCAGAAGGCAGTCCAGGTATACCTCTCAAACAATGTCCAACGTTTCACCAAGACGTTTTCAACGCGCCCATTTTCAGCGACAAACATTTATTTCTTTATACGGTAATTGTGCTATCGAAAAAAGATATAGAGCGTAACTGGGTTTCGGTGCTACCTATCTAATTGCTACTTTCTCGAATCTACGCCTTGTCACTTAGAGAGGTAATGCAATAATACTCCCATCTAACCACCATTAACCACGCGATACGTATACTTCGCCGCGACTTCCTTCGGATAAGAACCAGCGTAAATGGTGGGAAGAGCTTTCCACCGCCCGCCTCGGATTTTCGAAGGTCAAACGTAAATTGCTCCCTTTCAAAATTTTCAAATCACTTTATTCGCACGACTCGAGTTCGTGCCACTTACAGAAGCAATATGTCGTTTCGTTGATAAAGTTGAATCGTTTAAGAAAATTCTTCGCCACGATATGGCGAAAATCGGATGAAGTTTTCCGTTAACCGGTATACACTTAATTTGTCCGGTGAATGAAATCTAAAGCCATCTGTAGGCTTCGTCGAAGCTTAGAATCGCGTGACAAGCTCGCGATCGCCTCGCGTGTACGATATCACGCGTGCTCCCTGCTCTTTTTTATGCCGTCCCCTGTTGTTCGGCACGTGCAACCTCTACGCGGACGATTAGCTCTCGACCGATTAAAACTGTGTCTCGAATGTCGTGCAACGCGGAACAGTAGACTTCTCTACACGCTCGACGCGTCCATCGATCGAACTCCTACTTGATTTCGTGGAGATTGTACGCGCCGCTACTCAGGATACAGACGTTAATCTTGTTTAACGTTGATATCGTTCGAACGAACGATTAAACTGGTTCTTTCAGACTTCTACGTTAACGAGAATTACGTTGGAATTATTAGTACGTTGCCTGCCAGGATGGTTATCGGTAATCGCCACTACAAACATGATTCGATCGAAGCTAAATTAAGTAGGGCAATTCTGATATAGCGGAATTGGTCGTGAACAATAAAAGATTAGGTTCGTCAAAAATAGCTACGTAATCAAACGCTTGCATTCGCAATGGGTAATTTACGTGCATGTATTAAGTAGCGTATTTCAGCAGCAAATGGCAGACGACCTATTAAAATTGTAGTTCTCTTTACGTTCCAAGTATCCGCAGGCCTTGAAACTTCTAACGAAAACGAAGAAGAAACTTTAATTTTTCATTATTTTCTGCCTAAGCTGCATAAACTGTAAAGCGGTTCTGTCCTTAAGTTAAATAGTTAAGTTAAAGGTGCGAATTTCCATAAAATGTAACGCGTTGCAGCACCAAGCATCACGCTCGTCGTTCGCCGAGTACGGGTTGCCACACACACGCGTCGCATTCGCATGCCTCGACGCCAGGCAGCTCGCCGTTGCACGGCTCGAACGCCGTCGCGGGTCTGCTCAGTCCCCACAGAGCACCTCCGTCGTCGCATTTAGGACAGACGGCGAGTCCTCATCGACTGTCCACGGTTTCGAGCACCGCGGGCAACGGAAACACCGCCAATCCACCCGCCGCAGTTCCAATCCCGGCATTACCCAGCGTGGGAATAGAGATAAACGACGTTCAACAGGGTGAGTCAACATTTTCTCCCGATTACTCGTTACTCCTGAAAAACTGATTACCTATTTTTTTCGATTAACCGAGTATCAGAAAATTATGCACTCGATTTGGCATAGCTACATATTTTCTATCGCTATCGGAACACGGTTGTTAAAAGATTTTAACAAGGATAACAGGTTACGTTAATTACGACGTCGTTCGTTTAATTTTCACTATACTTTATTCGCACGAAAATCAACAACGAAGACGCAAAGCGGAGAAAAGAAGTCGCAAAGGAAGCAAAAATAGACACACTCGAAACATGTCGCTCAATTTAACGAAAAAAATGGGGTAGTTGAAGCGAACTGCAGGTGTACAGAGTGTTTATACGGAAGAAACAAAAGCTTCGGGAGGGCAATCGGGAGTCTCGTCGTTGACTCGTCTGAGTACGAGCCTTTATCTTGCTAGAAAGAGCTAGTAAGCTGGGACGGTTTTTAAAAAATGCAAGTGACCTGCACACTCGCGGCGCGTAACGAGCACACACTGCGTACGAATCATCGTTAAAGAGATGGTGCACGGTTGGATGCGCCTCTATCCAACGTGTTTCTTTTTATATCCCTCCCTCGCGGAAGAAGAAAGTTTCGGAAAAACGAAACGAGTCGAAACGCGCGACCGTCCTTTGTTCGAGACAATGCGACACGATGAACCATTACCGAAATGATATACATACGTGTATGTATGCAGATAATCGTAACGAGTTTAGAAAAATTGTACGGGTTGACGAGGAACGTTGGGTGCAACGAACGGTGAAAAGTTTACCGCTTGCACAACGTATCAATCGGAAACTAAAAGTTTTAGGAGATCGACTACGTTAACGTTCGTGAGCGTCGTAAAAGCGAAAGATGGTATAGGCGAAGTTTGCGCGGTAAAAGTGGAATAAAGCATAGCCCGTTTCGCAGTAGTCGCGGTCGGCGTTACACCGCCAGGATCGCCTCACACCGGAGCCGGATCCGGCGCCCATCACTGGAGATCCAGACTAACGACCATCAAGAACTCCTTCCTTGGCAGTCCTCGATTTCATCGGCGTAAATTGCTCACGAGTACCGAGGAGGTAAGCACTTTGACACCTCTGTTCAATACGTCTTCTTCTTGGTCATTTCCAAAATGAACGCTCTCCACGTTAAATGACCGTTGTCCCTTCTATACCGACGATCTTCCAGTCGATCGTTTTCGATAAAACTTTCATAATATTCTTTTTAACGTACAGGTACACCTCACTCCGGATTCTTCCCCGGAACTTACAAAGAAATCGTGGTTCGGCAGCTTGATGACCACGGAAAAGGACGAAACGTTTACCGTTCTCGTTAAAGGGAAAGCATTAGCTAGCGTCAAAGCAGATTTGATTCACGCTTTTTTATCGGTAAGTTTTTAATTCGAATCGTAGGAGCCAGGAAGGAAACGCGAATGTCCGACGTCTGCTTTTATTCGTAACTTCGTGAAAATGATAAAAGCGTGAACTCGTTGTAACGCGGTAATCGGTAACGGATAATTCGATACGTGCTCGAGTAATTGGCTCGGTTCGCTGATCCGATTTACGGAATATTTTTCACGTTGTATCGATAAAAGTTTGTTTGCCGTTATAAAATGGAAAGAACGAAAACGAAAGGTTTCAATCGACAGATAGCGGAATTGTCTCACAGCGTGAGCTCGCCCATGTCCTTCAGAGTGGAATACAAAAGAGGAAGCACAGCACCGGCAATGTTTCAAAGACAAGTGCGCTTTCAAGTGGACATTAGCGCTATTTCGAAGCAGCCGAACGAACCACTGTTCGCCATCACTTTCACTCTATTGAGCGGTAAGTCAACTTTCTCCTATCGATTAATAAAACTGCTTGCTGTTTTAATGCGATCGATAAGTCTAACTTCTCGAGGTTATAAAACTTTGAGGCCATCGCTAATTCTCGAACGATGAATCTTCGAGACTTCGTGTCGAAAAATTCCTTTCTAAAGAATAATACGCTCTAACCGAGTGATCTTGGTTTAGAAAAAGATTAATTAACTAACGAATCGCGATCGTAAATTGAAGCTAATAATTCTCGTTAAAGAATGCCGTATTGTTCACGGCGGTTTTTATCGCGTCGGTGAACTCGTTAAACGTTTCCTAAGGGACCAAACGCGTCTCGTTACGAGCTCGTCGTTAGAAATAAGAACCGCCGCGTATACCGCGCGACGCACCTCGAATTTCCATGATAAAAAAGCTAAGGGTAGAAAGCACCCTCGGAAGCAAAACCGCGGAACAAGGGTAGAGATCGTAAGGTGGCGGCGTTTGGAAGTTGGCAGCCATCCAAGCGCAACTAGATCGATGTTACCTTGGCAAGTAAAACCTTACGTCTTGTTCGTATGTAGGTACATATGTGCGTACGTAATTCGATACAAATCAATTACCGTCCTCAACGCGGCATGAAATATTTCGAACGTAATACTGCTCCGTCGAAGTGGATAACCGTGACAAAACGTTGTTAAGCGGAAAGTTACTCGAAGAACCAACACACCTTTCGATTTAACGAAACTTCGGGACTTGTCTTTAGAATTTTCAGTCGTTGGAAATTAAAGCGTTACGAGCGATGATATCGATTTCGACGTTCTCGCGTGAACGATGCAAGTATCTTTAGGGCCTAAGGTTTAGGCCATTAACCCTGACGTAAACGATGCAGCGAGAGAAATCGGAGAAATTGGACTAATCGCGGCTCGTTTGTCCGATGTTTCAGGAAACATTCGACGATTCCGAAGAGTCTGCGAACACATTCAATCGCAGGTCTGCTCGAGAAACGTAGGAATCAGTTTGGGAGGACAAAGCAGAGCAGCACCACCCAGTCCGCGAGCATCGCGAAAATTTGCCACGGAGATGAGCGAAAGTTCCAGTTGCGGTAGCGACACTAGCGAACGACTGTTTCTCAGTCCGCACCCAGCTACCAGACAGGTAGTCTGTTTCAACAAGGTAGCGCATCATCTTCCTCCTCCTAGTCACCATTATCACGATAATTACTTTGCTCCGTTTCAAACCTGAATCTTCGAGGAAACTACTCGTACAAGGTGAAACGCCAATCGAATCGAGACACATTTTTCCTTCCTTATGCAGGCTGTTTCTCTCGAGAAAAGTCAATGCCAAAGAGGGCTCTCGTTGACTCGTTCTCGGGAGCACGCTCTGCTCCGAGATCGTTCGTTATCTCTTTTATAATTATCGCACTCGTCAACTTCCATTCACGATTCACGACCCTCAAAGCTTCACCGTACACGGCACGTTTAAATAGCTAGAAAATCGTTCACCGAATGTAGATTATGCCACCGAAAATAGATGCAACCAACGAATAATATTTTCGTAGACTGTAGCATTTTACGCGTATATAGTTCACGCGCATTCTTTATGATTTTCGCATCGAATAATCGCTAAACGATTAAACGATTACGCTTGTTCGATTCTTTAGAAAAATAAATATTCGTTAGATCTTGATACGCACTTATTGGCTCGATGCGCGAATCCGTACGCTAATTTCTTTTGCTCCGACAGAGATCATATATTTTCTTGTAATAACGCGTTAATACGTACTTGTTGAATCGTTAACCAAAATTAACGAGATAACGTGCGGATTCGTGCACGTTATGCGCTACCAGCGGGAAATTAACGGCAGTATTAGCTAATCATCTATCATTGGCTTCTCGCGTTAACCTTCGAATGGCGAATTTGGGTCTTCACCGACTTAAACATCAGCGCTTATTTCCACAAACGCGCCTGATAATAATTTCTGTAATTTCAAATGATTTCGAGTGATTTCGATAATTTCAACTCCGTTGTAAAACGTGTTTGAATGTTCGGAGCGAGATCGAGCCATCTCCTTCATTCGAGGGTTAATCAAGCGTCGTCGTTCGAGTGCTTATTCTTTATTCGAATTGCTTTCAGATCGATTCGGACATCGAATCGGACACGTCCGTGTTCGACGTGAAATCACCAAGCAGGGAAAACGGTCGTCGAAGTTCGACGTCGACGAACAACAACAATCCATTGCCAGGAGACGCGACGCCGACGCCCGGAAGTCCGACGAAGGCGGTTCGCAGCAACTCGGAGAGTCAGAACACGCCGGAAAAGAAATGCGTAACCACGATGAGCGGCAACAATATAGCGTGATACTATCAGAACTTCCGTTTCGAGTTTCGATCGAGCCTGAAGAATTTATGGGACAGCGCCCAGAGATTCTGGTGAGTCTCGTGCGAGCAGCTTGCGATCGAGAAACGATCTAGCGATACCGCGCAGAGATACTAGCAAAATAACACGATACTTTTATGAAAGAGAGAAAGAGAGTGTGCGTGTGTGTGTGTGTATGTGGGTGTGCGCGCACGAGAGAAAGAGAGAGAGAGAGAGAGAGATGACTTCGACGGAAATCAAATCGAGAGTGAAAGACTAACGCGAATAGCGACGACACGAACGACGAAGAAGGAAAATTAGAACTACTTTGGACGAGTTTGTCGAGAATGCGTGGTTTGTTCAGGAAATAATGAGATTCGGTTGATGAGTATTTATAATAAATTAGCATCGAATGGCGGCAAAAATGATTCGAGTAAGCTGATCGTTGCGAGACGGAATTGAGCAGAAAATAATTATAATCTTTGTTGCGACAAATTAGTATTCGTAGAAAATTGTTGTAATCACTCGACGAACGATTGATTTTTCTTTCTTGGTTTCGCTTATTATTAATTGCCATGATTCGCTCGAATCATTAATCGGATAACGTTTTGCTCCGACTCTGCAAAGTGATCCATTTAGCGATATGGTGCTATAAAGATAATTTATATAGATCATTGAAAAAAGAATGACAAAAAAAATACTTATAAAACTGCTACAGTCGAAATAGGAAACTTAAACGTCTGGTTGACAAATTGATTGTTGGTATTATTAACCCTTATCCGGATAGTGTACGGTATACGACGCCAATGAATAGTCACCGACAAAAGTAGAAATCACGTCGAAATCGTATTGATTTTCAAGAAATTTTACGATAAAAATGTCTAAAGGAACAATCTTGTTATTTTCGAAGCAGACCACGTACACGATCGAAGAACAATGAAAAACAGATCTCCTGATCATCAAAATCAATCTAACGAGAATTCTGAAAAGCCGTTTCAGTCGATATGGAACAAATCGATTTATCTTTGCGAGAACAAATACAAGAACTCGAAGATTCGAAAAAGATTCATTCGCTTAGAAAGATGCATCCGACTAAAATGAAATGTACGTCGAGAAAAGTTCCACGTTCGACTATCCGATTCATCTTCGACGGAGAATATTCGATTAAACATCGGGGAAAATTTGTGCCGCAACGCGAATCTTCGTTTAGCAGTGATCGCATTCGACTTTCGTTCGGTCGCTAAAATTGTTACCTGTTTCTTTTTTCTTTGTTTTTAAGCGAAGTGCAATATAATAGCGACGTTTTACCGACGAATATCGGATCGTGTCGTTAATAAGAATGCTTTATTTGGTACATATGTGTATTCTGTTGCGTATCGCCAATTTTTTAGCGGTTTCGTTTTTGCAGAAAGATTTATTTAAAAAGTTCAGATGTACCGTTTGAATAGAAAAGTTAATTTTATCTTGGGAATATCTCGGATCTTTCATTGTTTTTTATTCATAATATAAACGTTGAAAAATTTTTGATTTAGTAACTGTTAGATACTTTTGACGCTTATTATTTTCATCGAGGCATTTTGATCGTAAACGTTGATGAATTGCATTTTGTAGTTGCAATTAATCGAACAATTCATTGTTGCATAGACGTTTAATCCAGTTAGCCGATTCATCGATTAACATTAATACTAGTCATTCATTTTCAAACTGCCGATTACGTTTGCTACATGTGTCTCCTCGATTTTCTCGTTCATTTAAATTAATTATTCGCTACAGTTCCAGTACGCTCATCGTCGCATCGCATGTCATTAAAGTATCGACCCACTTTCAACTGTACATACACCTTCCAAACAATTTTTAAGCGAAGCACTATTATAACAATTATTACAATGAAATACAACAATATTTTCGCGAATGAATTTTCTCCTTAACGCTAGAACAGCCAGCGTTAAATTGGCGTGGAAGATCTTTTGTATTTCGTAACGATCAAATAAATTAATTTCTACTATATTACATGAACATAACGCGTGGTAATATATTGGCTTACGTCGCTACACGTTACACCGTTACGAAGGGGTGGTAATATAACGAGGATCTATCGTATGCGAGGATCTGGGTCTTCTTAATAATACCGAGTTTTTTTCTCCGGTGCCTGCAAACTTTAGCGATAAATTTCACGATCCACCTTTACGTTCAAATAATTTCTGCTATTAAAACTAAGAAATCCGGCATTCTTTCGACTTTGGCTGCTCTAGCGTTAAATGTGAAATGAACGAAGGAATTCGGTAAAAGAATGAACAAGTAATAAACAAATAAGTTGCAATATACATAGAATAATTTGTTTGTCTCGACAAAGGCCAACATACGTTTCTCCGAGAGTATCTTGACACGAAATGTTAAGCTTTTATTTTTTTCGCGAAGACCAAATTTAAAATCTGTCGGTTTAACGTGCTCGATCCGAACGTTATCTCGATACGACAAACGTAGCTGTTATTTTATATCACGCTATCCGTGAACGAAGAAAATTTGACGAAACGAAGGAAATCGAGGGTCGCTGAAAGTTTCTCGACTCGTAATAGAGAGAAACAGAAAGGTCACACACTAACGAGGTAAAAAGAAAGAAGGATTAAGAAAAAAAGAGAAGAAGATTCACTCGCGACGCAACGATTGCGTCGAGAGATTTATTTTTTGCACGCACGAGAAAAACATTTCAAAAGACTAATATATATAAATATAAATATAAATACAAATATAAATATAAATATAAATATAAATACAAATATAAATATATAAATAAATGAATAAATAAATGAATATATATATTATATATATACGTACATAAGTAGGTTTCACTTAATAAGAGCTACGCGTTACAACGCGTGAGGCTTCTTGTTTGCTACTCGCGCGAAAATAAACCGAGAAGAAAAAGAGACGAGGAAAAATGGGAGATCTAGCGTTTCTAATCGTAGAATATAAATATCGTACAGGTTTTTTCTCAACACACAGACATATCTCGATAAAATTGTCCCAGCTTCTTAGTGGAACGACGTGCGCAATGTAACACGCGATTAGCACAGTTTTTAATCGAAGGCTCGTTATAGTCGTTAAATGAAATCGTATCCTGCCGATCGTGAGAATCTTAAGAAATCGACGGTACGTTCTGCTCGTTCCTGATCGATAACAGGGTCGTAGAACGCGAACGAGTTGAACCGGTAGAATGTTGTATCGTCGTATTACCTCGTGTTCGTAGAAACAGTTTTTGTCGGATCGTTGCATATCGAATGATCGATTTTCAACCATTCAAAGTCACTATTTCGAGTCAATATTTCAGGACAACAATAGAACGGAACGAAATCCGTGTAACATTTTATTACGAATCGCGCGATCAAGAGGTTCTACATATGCAATGGCCATTTAGTAGAATGTTCAGGGAAATCATACCCCCTCGTCGAACGCACAATACAGCGTTAGCGTAATAAATTTCAATTAAAAAATACGAATTCTAAAAATGCGGTATAACTCGAAAGAACAACCACGATTACACTGAAACGAACATTTTTAAATTAGAAATAAATCGACCATCTCGAATGTAACGATCTAATAGTTTACGAGAGGTTACTCTCGCGAAAAATTAAATGTCTATTAGAAATTTGATAAAGAAACTCGTTACTATCCACCTATGCCTATATCTTATTTTTTCGTCAATTGGCAAAACATTTGTTTTTAGGAACGACTAACTCGTTAGTTGAAGGAGTTTCCGAAGCAATGTAAAAAAACTATCTGATAAATTTTCATTTTAGTTTGTATACACACGAGTGGAAAAAAATAATATTTAATTTTTCACGCGAATAACCTTCGTTAAACGTTTTCTTAACGGAATCCCGCGTACTACATCCGCTTGGATGGTAAATCCTTTGCAACGTACAGTGGCGCACATATTTCTCCAGAAAAGAGAATCTCTCGAGGCTAAAGCACGAATATGTTTTGTACGCTTAAATAATTGCCGATATCGCTGCGATCGATCGATTAAACTTATTTCGAATAAAGATTAGACCGGTAGGAAGAAATACGCGAGTCACTGTATGTAGATAATCGAAAGCAGCACACCGGACAACGAAAGAAACGCGCCAGCCCTCGAGAAGAAGGTAATTTTCAATGTTCAGTTTTCGATTCTCTGTTAATCGTTGACGAATCGTCAGCGAATATTGAACATTGTAGAAACACCGAATCGAAGAATCCTACCGACGCCACGCGACGCCACGCTACAGAAGGAAAAGTTAGCGAAACCGTTCGTAAATAGATAGACGAGAGTAGTCGCGAAATGTTCGCTAGAATCAAAAATTACAAACGTCGGAGTCTCTCGTTTTAGATGTACATAAGTACGTAACTGTACGTTGTAATCGCGCACAGCGACTCGTTCCTAAATATCCCCGGCTACGTGCGAGGATCATCGGTCGAAAGAAAGAAAATGAATGACTCTCTTTTGCCAACAGAATCGATCGAACGCGAATTTCAATTCGATACGAGAATTTCGTTAGACCAGAAAGTTTCGACGCTTCAACGATTCGGTTTATTACTTAATACCGTTTAACTGGATCAGTTCGACCGAAATAAAAATGGCTTATACGGGCAAAACGAAACTGATAACACAAATATTTTATCCTTACACGAATACCGAATGGACGACGTTCAAGTAGTGGAACGCGTTAACCTTCGAATTACTCTATTGCCATCGATCGAATCATGATCAAAAGTAAAAAGGGATTAAAATTCTATTCTCAATTACATCGCCGTTATTTCGGGATGTGTAATGTCGCACAATTGGATCTCGAAGAGTTCGAATCGGTTGCTCGCGTGTCCCTCTATCTTCTTAATCGAACTTAATCCTTGTGTTTTGTCTGTATCAGCCATTCTATTTAGATCACTTTTTTTACCAACAAAATAATATCTAGTCGATTCAGCATCTATTATATTTCTTGCATATTTATTGTATATTTTAGATAAATGAAATATTATTGTATTTTTAAGGAACATTAAGGAGGATCGTGATTCGTGCAGTTACTAGTTACTAGAGAGGCAATATTGTGTTCCGATCATGAACGAAATGATCAAAATTTAACGCGTTGACTACCGAATTAAAATGCCGCGTTTCCTTGTTCCGCTTCGACCCAGCGCAACGCGTCGTTACAAAAACATAGGAAAATAAAGCCTTTTAGCATTAATCTTGGAACGACCGAAGACTAAAAACTTACTATCGATTGAAAACCGTGTGACACTTGGATGACACTGCATCGAGTCGAAAGGAAATATTGTATAATCACTGTTCGATTGTACGATAATAACTAGAAACCGAACAATATCGAACGAAATAAAAATCTGATAGAAAAATTTACTTCCGGATGTATGGAATATAAAAGAGTCAAGAGTCGAGTCATTCGCTGTCTCAAGATTAAATGGACGAAGGCGGCGGCCAACGCGTTAAAGAAAACCTCCAAAGTCATCGATAAAATAGATTCTCGCGATACTTCCTGTCGTTATGTACTTCGTTCGAAACGGATTCGTTGGGTTTCAAAACGATAACAAGAAAATCGATGAAGATACGATTACCGTGTATGGAAGGAAACGGAAATGGACACGTTAAGCCTCGCTCGATAGGCGATTAGGATTGCTCCTCGTTCTTTACCGACTCGATATTCCTGTATTTGTACCAAAAGCATTCCATTAAGAAGCTTGCAGGTAGAAAATGTAAAAAAAGAAAAAAATAAATAAAAGAAAGGTGTCATGATCGTACGACGAACGACACCTTTCGCGCGCATAATTGCTAGATAGGTAGGTAGGAGTAAAATAATAACGATAATAAAGTAAAAAAAAAAGAAAAATAACAGGGAGAGAGAATGAATGTGGGCGAAACGAATTCGTTTGTTACGTTTCGTGATAATGAATATCGGGCTTTGCAATACGCGTGATCGCAAGATCCTAAACTAATAGACAAAACGAGAAGTATGAGAGAAACATTGCATGATTGTTCGGCGAACGAAAAAGAACGCGTGCGTGCGTGCGTGCGTGTAAGTGTGCGTTCGAATTGTCGTTGAATCGTTTAATATCGTACGCGATACGCGTAACAATCGATCTGTATTATCCGCTCAGATACGAAACGATTCCGCATAAATAACCGCTCGTTCATTTATTTAGGGACTAAGCTCGTTATTTCCTTACTTTATTAACGAGATTTTAAACGCCATTTTACCGAATTCTCTTTGCAACTTTTAAAACTTGAGTGCAAGATAATAGAGAATTATACGATAAATTATCAAAATATTCTGTTACCGCGCATTAAAGGACACGCGGTTGAAAATCTGATAATCCGAGAAAGAGGTTTAACGCGTACTCTCGCAAATCCGAGTCAAATGTAAAATAAAATTTTTATTTTATGGGATCGAAATATTCTAATAAAAGAAGAAGTTTCATTCTACGTATATGTATACTTGCGGAGCGTGTATTTAAACAACCTATACGCGATGATGGCTCTGTGGTATCCTCGAAACTAGTATTCGGAGAATCATCGAAAAGGCATTATTTATATTTAATATATTTTTAGATACAGAACGTTTTTTATTTATATTTATAGTTAATTAAACAAACGATAGACAGTTCTTTCTTCGTGCAACAATATTTCCTGCGTTACCATCGTGTTAAATCGTATTATTTTATAGTGAAATGTTGCGAAGAAGAAGCTGCAAACGAAAAAAAAAATAAAGGTAGATGTTATTTGCACGTGACAAAATAATCGACAGTTTTCAGATTAAACCACGTACCTTGATACACGAAATCGATCGTATCGAACCACTATTGCTCGAACCTGCGGAGTCATTTTGTGTCTAAACAGATAATATAAATTTAACTTGACACACAGACACACCACTAACTTATAAATTGAAATTAGGCGTAAGCTTGGCGGTTATCTATTTATTAATGTAAAACTATTCGTACGACATAAGTAACGCGATATACAGAGATTTCGTCTACATAATGGAAACAACTTGCAAATATACGTCTAGGGTTCTACAGTTCTATAGTCTAGATAATACGACGGAATAATATTGAATTTACTAGGAAGAAAAATATTTTGGAAATATTGAAAAAGATCGAAACGAAGGTAGTTGTTAACTTAATTATCAAGGTATATGATATTGTATAATTTAACGTACGAAGACGATAACAGGTCTTTTTGGGTTGAGTTTCAAAGTTTTTCATTCGTTTAATTATTCCATAATACAGGTATCGAATAATCTAGACATACTAAGAATTACGATATTCCGAAAACTGTTCGCTGTTTCCATTATTTGGAACTGGATCTCTGTAGTTAAAAGAAAAGGGAAGAAGAAAAAACGGACGCAATGAAGCGAAGGGAAAAAGAGAGACGAGAATACAAGTGGAAACAAATTACCGGCCATATTAAGTTAGGATTTTATATCGTGCGAATTTATGGATGGAAAGAGAACACTTAAGGTACTTTGGCGAATAATAATAGTCGGAGAGAATGGATTTACCGTCCCGAGGTTCGAATAACTCGGGACTAGGCTTTCTGTCTCCTATTCTTTTTCGTTTGTAATCGAACGCGAACGTCGTATATTATAGCTGTACGGACAAATTAATAATACTCGCTATCCCTCACGTGTCTACAATTTATTTTTCGACTCGTTTTTTCCGCGCCATCGTCGCTCTGCGTCGAAGCGCGACATCCTCCTCGAATTCTTCCTCGACGATTCTATCCGATCGAACGCGAACAAACATTCAACGATTATCCTGTACAGCGTATATACCTTTATACGCGGTATCTCCGAAACGTCGATTCGTTTGCTCGCGGCTTACGTACTTGTACGATACTCTTTGAGCGTTTGCGAACACGTTTTAATTTCGATTCACTCGATGGAAGAAAAAACTCAAGGAGAATTCCTGTGCTTGTCGCCTCGTACGCAGAGGATGTGCTTTCCTGAAGGACGAAAATTACAAGTTTTGCACGAACAAGCAGAACACTGTAGGAATAATACAAAATTCCCGAAACATCGTATCCTTAAGGCATTATAAGCTAGGCAGATAGAAGAGATTTTTATACAATTTATAAGGCGATTTGCAATCGATTGATTTGTCTCGCACGTTTACCTGTTGACCTTTTGTTATGATACACACACAGCCTTGCTCAAGAAATCCGATTATACGAACTAAAACGTTACGCAATTTTAACGACCTCGTCGCACCAAAATATGTTAATCGATTCGACCAGATCTCGTACTTAAAAAAGAATGCGGATTATGCAAGAAAGTATTTAATTCGCGTAAAAAGAAATAAATATTGTTGCTTTTAACGCGTTGACTGACACGCTGATCAAAAATCGGTTGCGAACTTTCGACTGGAAAGCAGAATACTCGACGCCTGTAAATCCTATTTACGTTTTCCTCAAAAGATGTTACGGTATTTAACATCTTTCGTTAAAGCGAAATCGAGATAATCATTCATAAATTGGTTAGATTTTACGATAGAAATTCTCGTGATAGCCAACGCGTTAAATGTTTCGACATCGAAAATGTTGCACTCGCATCGTCTAAATCCAGTGTATCCAACGGTGTATCTCGTAACCAACTTTTTCGACGTGCAGAGTAAATAAATAAAAAATACGTTCGAAACATTTGAGCGGTATTTATATTCGTAACTGTAGGCTGCATAAATAGTAGACATTCGAAAAACGTGGAAATCATTTAAAACGACAAGCTGTATCTCAGCTGGATCTTTTGAGCGAGCGCTAAAGCGAAGAGGCTGCATCGAGGATGCATCGGCTGCTGCAGGATTCTCTCGTCGTTCGCAAATGTTCAATTAACCGATTTATTAACGTGCTTAACGCTCTCGTATTATTGGCTCGGCATTTACCTATCTCTCCATTGGAGCAATACGTAAACGTTTGTACAAAATGATTACAGAAAAAAACTATTTATCTCTACGTTGACTATCAACAATTCCATTCACGAACAATGTTCGCTTTGATGCGGAAATCAGTGTCCTACTAGCGAGAAACGAGGCTAATTGCAGCTGAATAACGTCGTTTTGACATCCTGTGCACGAAGTCGAAGCTCTGCCAAGCTCTCGAGCTAGCCAAACCTCTCCGATCAGCTGACACCTTGTTCTCTAACAATTATTATGCCTACTCCGTTACCGAAATTCGCTAATCAAATAACCTCGTGAATAACTCGCGAAGGGGAGATTCCTTTTTACCCGGATTTATCGAAACGATTATATTTTTAACGCGTTTGCTGCAACCTAAAAGACCGTAGAAAATATACCGCGTGAAGAATGAAGATATATCGCGTATCGAAATTTCGAATTTTTCGAAATTACGTTATTTCAAATTTTCTCTGGATTCGCTCGGAGAAGTTCCGATGAAAAAATTTCGAAGATTTTCGGCGGCCTATGAAATCGAGAACGTGTAACGACGGTTGGCAGATACGGAATAACGCATCGTGGATCGACGATACTTGGACGGTGGTAGCGGACGTGTTAAACGTGAAACAAATATCCTAATTATACCTATGGGTAAAACTTGGGTTATTCTAATAAAAAATTCAAAAAAAAAAAAGAAAGCGGAAAGGGAACATTGTCCTAAAATAGAAGCGTTGTTTGGCACTGTACCCTTAGCGAATTCGATTTTTGCACACTCGATTAGTTAGTGAAATTTAGTAAAAAGCGTAATTTTAGAGGGATTTTCCACCGAGTTAATCGCTCTATTATAAAGTAAAATCGCTTCTTTTCGCGCTGTATTATTTAGATTATTATTTAAATATAGACAAGTATTTGATCCGATCAGTATCCTGAACGCCGAATTAATCGATATTTATAGACATAATGTAGTAACGAAAATATTGCTTTTACGATTGTTCAGCGATGTTGCGATACGCTATCGATATCTCGACAATGAAAAATTTCGAAATCGAAATGTCGTACACGAGGGATCCGTTACGTTTCGTACGAACGTACTTTGATTCTGAGTATCGATTATATGTGCTTCGTGTGAAGTTTTTCACTACAAAACCATAAACCTCGAGCTAATTCGTGTAAAGAAACGAATAAAATTATATTTCGTCGGAGACAATTCGGATGTACCGATCGATCTTGAAAATTTCACAAATTCCGATAAACTAAAAAACGTTAAGATTCGATATCGATTATTCAGCGTTTCCACGTTACTGCAGGTTTGTTTAACGCGTTTTAACAAAGCTTTCAACGGTTTCGAGTTCGTTTATGATATCGACGGTTGATTTCGAGTCTCTGTTATAAAAACGTTAAATCGTTAAAGAAACTCGTGAAAAGAAAGTGTGTAACGGAATAGCCCATAATGAAAAAAGCTCGTTGTCGTCGACTGAGCGGTCGATCGATCGCAAAAATTTGTTGTAATCTCGGGTGAAACGGTTCATATCAAAGATACATAATCAATATTCTGGTTAAAGGATCCCAGACACGTACAGCGATTCGATTTACCAGTTACGTATCGTATATACCGAGTATTTGGTAACGTCCATGACAACTGACAATAACGGCTGTGAGTCCGCAAGTTCTTTTGTTTTCTTTCCAAAAAGTATACCGTACCGTAAATCATTTCGCTTGACTTGCCTATAACTGAACTGCTACTCTTCTCGAAATTCTCGTGAAAACTGAACGTATTTACGGCTCCAAAATGTTGCTTACTCCTATTTCAAAAATTTACCACATAAAAAGAAGAGTAAATTATAAATGATTGAAACGCGTTTAAAATTTCATTCAGTTTCCATGTAGAAATTTCGAAAAAAGGAACGACAATCTTACTCGATCGATACGACAGATACACGCATACACAATGATTTACGCGCTCGCGTGTATACAGCCGACTTTGAAATGTTACAAAATACTTGTCACTTATTTTGCGAACAAAAAGCACGTAAGATGGTTACGTCTGTTCGAGCGTTACTTATTGTATATTTCAGAATCGATCAAAACAATATATGGCGTTTCAATGTTCTACTATATAGAATACACTGCTCGAAAGACGTAACCACGAGATGAGCGAATCCCATGAAGCCAGTTTAAAATGTTCAAATAGTTTTCGATCGTGAAATCGATTAACCGGAAATGCGCGTACTTTACGCGCAAAGTGTTCGTAAAAATTTAACGATCGCTCTCGGAATGATCGAGAATCTGCGCTAAATTTAATGCACTTGCAGTAAACTATTTTTTTACGAAGATAAAAGAAATCATCCTGCCCCGAAATCCTTGTTCCGCGTGGCAAAAAACTAGCCTCCTTTCATTTAAACGTTCGATTTCGAAATACCACGAACGACTAAAGCGCCCTCTGCCGAATTTAAATGAATATTTATTCGAAACAAACGCAATCGCTACACCAACTGATCCGATTACAATATCGATCGCAATTATACATCATTTTAATTACACTTGAAATCGATCATTTTTGTTCTTGTATAGTTTTGCCGGTGAAGCGACTACAAATACAATGTACAAGTTATATTGTACTAACGAATATTACTGATACTTGTCACGCAATGACTATGAATTATTGTGTATTATTATTATTATAAAATATATCGTTAGTTTTCAAGCAAACGAGTAAACACGAGAATATGGGGAGATAAAAAATTGTAACATATTTGTTGATGGCCAATATCAAATATGTATAAAAGTAATAATAATGCAACATTACTAATAAACAAATATTATTAACTTTCTTCTAAACTTACTACCCAATTTATCGAGCATGTACATGAATAACGCAAGCCTCCCACCGAGATAAATAAAATAGCGTTCTATTGCCAATCGTTATATCGCTATGCATTCTTAAATCCTCTGTGTCTACGACAACTTTTTCCTAATTCTCTCGTAAAGAAAAACAAATAATAAATCCGACGATTCTTTTTTTTATTTCGACAATTTTCGTTATATTTGTAATCATCGTTTATAATAATTATCTGGCCGAGCTGAAGTAAACAATACTCTTTTACTTATTCGCCTCTATTACATAAAATACAGAATGTTTTCTACTGTATAGTTACAATAAATTTTATTAGACGTAACGCTTAAACGTACGAAATTTAAGTGTGTACGAAAAAACTATGTGAACCAAAATATTTATGAAACACATGGTTATGTTGTGTAAAACTTATTCCTAAACGATGTCGCGCGAACCTTAAGTGCCGTTTGGAAATAAAATTGTTAATCAAATTAATTAAATAATGCCAAAACGTCCATGTCCGTTTGAGGATGATTTATTGCCTCAATTAAAAATACACGTGGGTCAAAAACAAATTAATAACGGCGTGGGTCATGAAGAACGAATGAAAGATGTTTATGGTATGAAGGTTATGATATAAGGATATTTCGTGTTTTCGTTCTAATCTCTAGTTTTTGCGATGCATACAGGAAAAACGTTAAATTTATTAAAGGAAGGTGTTAAAACACTGTCACAGAGATTAAATAGTTCTATGGAAATGAATTCCACTGATCTACCTTCACCACAAATACTTTCCTCTTGCAAACCTAAACATGAACGTAATTCTAAGCAAATGGTATTGAACAGTAAATTAGAATTATTGGGAATAGATAAAGCCATACAAGTAAGTATTTTATTTCTTCTAGAAGTATATTCTATTTTACACGATTACTTTACGGTACTATAAAACTAATTACGTTTCTGTTTTAATAATTTTCTTAGGATACTCGACCAAAATATGATCTTTGCGAATGTAGTCAAGTAATAACTTCAACTACGTGTAATAAATGTTCATATTGCGATCAACAATTGTGTAATTCTTGTCTCTTCGAGTGCATTAGTTGTTCAGAGTTATTTTGTCAGAATTGTTCTCTACCCGCGTAAGTGTTGCTCTTTATTTTCTGCTTTATAGTTGAAAAATATCATGGCATCATTTTTATTTATTTATAGGTATGATCGAGAAGAAAAAAACAAGTGCCTTAATTGTTATAGATGAAACCAGCAATGTTTTATATTATTTTTTATAATTCATATTTGTTTTCTTTCTGCTAATAATATGAAAAGAAATGGAAAAAATAAACTGAAACATGCATGACTTTGTAGTAAATAGCAATGTTATTTCTTATCCTTGCTATGAAAAAGAAACCATACAAGTATTTATCAGTATTTATCGACACTTTAAGGAAAAACTTTTGTTGTGTTTTAATTGTTTTCTACTAGAATAGTATTTACAAAAGTGTAGTATAGTTAAAGTTTTATTTGGTTAGGGTTTAGTATCAATACTAAAATTAAATTATTCATTCCGATGACCGTTTTAGCTATAAAAGATTTAAATATTCTTTAACACTGGAACTAGCCTGGAGATTGAATCGCTGGTATCCGTGTATTTCAAACGTTTTTTACGTTTGAAAAGAAAATGCAACAATTTATTTCGACTAATCCTTCCGTATCAACACTTATGTTTTATATTAACATTTATATTTATGTAAATATTAAATACAACATTACGTCAGGCTTATTCAAAATTGCCTCCTTATTGCTCACCGCTGTTGTTACCATGGATACACGGAAAGGAATAGATTAGATAGATGAGCAATCTTATTATAATCATCGTTGTTTTCTGGTATTGTGCTTTTTCATGAGAGCCAAACAAATAAGTAGAGGGGGAAACTGACGCGGAGGGGCCCCCATGCTGGACCGACTTGTATTAGACATTGCACGTGCATCGTCTAAATTTCAACATGACAGAAAGTAAGTTTTTCTTCGAGAAAAAATGTCTTCCTTCTAAATGGTATAAAAATTTGTTTCAATGCTCAAACTTCCTTATAAATTTCTGTCTTCGAATTTAGATACTAGTATCATCAGAAAAGGAAAAGAATCAAAGTTGCCGGTATGTGTCAACGAGGAAAAGGATATTAATGTTACACTAAAAAATAAAAGATCGGTAAAATATCAATATTATTTATAAATTTAACTATTGATCACGACCATTAACATTCAATATAAATTATATATTACAGAATGTTAAAAAAAAAGAAGAATGTAATGCAGCACGATATTATAAGAAAAATATGAAAGCTCCAATGAAGCAAAAGAATAAATTTCCAAAAGATACTGAAAAAATAAGTATCTCAAATATGCCTTTAAGGTACGATAAAAAGATGTACGAATATCAAATTCTTCAACTGGATAGAATATTCAAACAATCTGCACATTGTCCGATACTAACTCGAGACGAATTAAAAATGTTATTCGTAAAATATAAATCAGATGGGCATTATAGAGCAAACAAAATTTTACCATCATTTACAAGTATCTTAGATAATTCAAACAATATCATTAATGAAACTAAACAGTTTTGTGACCAAATGCAATATGTTCCTAGTTTCAATACCAAAGAAACAAATACCAAAACGTTAGATACGTTTGCAACTCCATATTACTATATTGATAAAGAAAATTTAAGCGCGTGTGCAAATACAAGTAGTATGGATAATAAAATTGACAATAGGTGTCTTTCTATTGGTCAAAATCCTTTTAACAATAACAACAATAATCAATTATTTACAAACCACGATATGGAAATAAATAGCATAAATATATTAGATGGTATTCCAAATTTTAACCAATCAAGATTAGATTTAAATGCAAAGAAAAATTTTAGCACAGAAGATTATTTTTCATACAATTTTATGAATACTCAGAATATACCGGAAGAACATCATGATTGCACAAACAAGAATTTACTTTATAATATATTTGATTCAAATTCTCAATACAAAAATTTAAGTAATAATGAAACTCTTCAACAGCGTGATACGCGTGATATAATGCAGTATGACTCGCAGCTAAATTCAGAATTTTGGAATGACGCCTGGTCAAATAAATGGAGCATGCATAAAAACAATAATCAGTACTGTAAATATGCACATTCAACTGTTAGTCCTTACACTAATGATTTAAAATCATGCTGCAATGTAAATAATTCTATGACTGCTTCTCAAATGACATTAATTAAAAATCACCTTGAAAATGGAAGTAATTTTAATCCTTCCATTCATATACATACTAATCCTTTCATAAATAGTGAAAAAAATGTAATGTATGATTTTAACGATAATATCATTACTCAAGAGAATTTTAATCCTCCCTCTGCAGATTCAAATATGATATCAGATAACTTTCTTGCTGAATCGAATGCATCTACTTATGCTAATTTTGTTGATCAGCTCATGTAAAAAAATATGGCGGTTGAACTTATAGATTTTAATTTATTTAAATTTTATATTTTTGTTACAAATATTTATATTTTTAAAGTTTTATAAGACGCAGAAAGCTACTGAATTAATAAAAATAAGATATATACATATATAAAATATTTACTATATATTAATATACATTCTTAAAGTGTATATATGTACATAAGCATTATGCATATATATACATTATGCTCAAAAGACATAAGTACACAAATTTAATCATTTTCTCAGGTAGTCCAAGAATATTTTAAATACATCCGCTATTAAATACAAAACAAATATAATATAATAATATATATCCATCTTTATACAATCTTTTCCTATTCATAAATATCTCAATCGTCGTTTATATAAAAGAATACATTTTCAAAATGTTTATAATACATAAAAATCATAACTGACTATAATTATGTAAACTAATCTGAGATACAGTCTATTAGACAACATATACTATATGTAAGAGTTTTAATTAATTAAGTCATGAAATTTTGTTAGTTATTTATTACAAACAAAATATGTTTTATTTTAAAAGTTTCAAAATATTACAAGTTATTTATGCGTATTTAAACCAAAGCATGGTCCCAAGAAACATCTTATCTATCGTTTTGTAGTAATACTTATTATTTAAATATAGTACTGTATTGTCGTCTTTTAATAGAATACTCATTATATTTTTAATATGAAATGCTTTAAATATAAACGATAAAATAAAATAAAAATTATTAATTTTATTTTACTTCATCATTGAATAAAAACATTATAATACTATTAACCGACCTCACAAAAAAGAAATAAATTATGAATGAATAAAAACACTATTGTCATCTTTTATATTTTGCTAATTTTCATAAAAAGTGTAATTTCAAAGAAAGTTCGGAGGAATTTAGAAATAACAATTATCTTATAATATCGATTAAATAAAATTAAAAATTTAACTCCTAGCAGATGATTATGGAAAAATGTTTGCAAAATGTTGATCTTCTGTCAAGTCATTATGTCATCAACAATAAATGTACATGGCTAAATTACATATTTAAAAAAGAAACGTTCTTACGTGTCACAACGGTGTTATACTTGTATCACTTTTTACGTTTTTTCGATAACCAGAAAAATCAGTTACCAAGTCAATTTCATCAACATCTCCACCAAGAAGTCGACCCTCTAAATCGTCTTTAGATTTTCTGAATAATCTGTAATTGAATATAATAGTAAACAGCAATTATTAAAGTATCCAATAAAACATTGAAATATCAATGAATGCTTCAATACGTACAATTACCTTACTTCATGTTTAAAGGTGATTTATACTTAATTCATAATTTTGATTTAATTTCTTATTTTGTATTAGATAAAACAAAATAGATAGTACAAATAATACACAATAAAACTAAATAGAGTACTATCAATATTAAATTTGATGAAACACAGATTCAGTAATCAAGTTAGTCACGACATACTTTATATACATTTTGATTTCATAGTCTATACTACCTGTTGTAAGCAGATTAATGCAAATACACTGCGAAATTAACCCAAGAATAAAGATGCTGTAATCGCACACCATTCTTATTTTAACCAATAGAAAACTTGTGCCGCAGTGCCTTCTCAGATGTAGTTGCAGTATTTTGAACCTTCCAAGAAGCTTACACATATAAATTTCAAAGAAAATAAATGCAGAAGCATGCAAAGGAATATGCAAATTAAAGACTGAAAAACAAGCAAATTTTTCGGATTAGGTAAATTATTTAGCAAATAACTTTCCTATTTAAAAAGCATACTTATTTTTGTACAATTTTTACACAATATAATACATTATTGTAGAATTAAATAAAGTCGGTATATAGTATTAATTGACAATAATCAACTTTACATATTATTAAATTACTGCTTATATTTGGCATAATATTTACAATTAATTTATCTTGTAGATTACATAAAACTATTAAGAAATTATCAAAATTCCTTTTGTTCAGTCTTATATTGTTACAATTATATTTAATTAAAGAACAAAATTTTATTTACCAAAAAAACTAAAATATTTCGCAGAAGTGAACACGTTACACGTAGTGTAATAATTACAAATGTTATTATATTAAAATTGTCTTCTTTTTTTAATATATCATTTCTAAGTTCACAGCCCGTTTTAATCGTGACGGAAAGGTATTATATATTACAATTAGGTTAGTAATTTTATTATAATTTTTATCTGATTCGACTGATGATTTTCAGCTAATTAATAATTTCACTGTTTCCGTTAGTATGACACAATAGTGATAACTGATAAACAGCAAGCGCGCAAAGTCAAACAAAACCTAACACCTCGGTATTAGTATGTTACAAAATCAAGAAGATAAATAACTCTTTTACATATTAAAATTACGTTGCCGTAGTCCCATCAAGCGGTAGGATTGTTATAGTTCCGCAGGAACTTTGAAAGCATAGATGTTGTCTGACCATACCTGGATAACGTCGATGTTGATCTGTGCATAATAGGCATTACCGAATCGTCTAAACCACGATGAAGAGATATCGTGTCCAAATCTATCATTCTCGCTGTAGAATGGGCACGCATTGCTGTTAAATATTCTGGAGTTTCCAACTTTGCTTTTGTTGGCTTACGGTATCTACGAAACATCGCAATTTACGTTTTTAGTTTTTCATTCCTATACTTGTTAGAATTATTCTTTATCGCTTAATACTCACAATTTGAGTAACAAAGAACTTCCAACCACTGATACAGAACTTAATGCCATCGCCGCTGATGACATCCAAGGTTGTAAAAAGAATCCAAAAGAACTAAAAATTCCAGCGGCGATAGGAATACCTAACAGATTATAAATACTAGCGAATAAGAAATTCAGTCTAATACGGCGAACTGTTTTTCGCGACAAATCCAGACACGCAATGACATCCAGAAGATCATTCTAAAAAGCATTAATACATACTTGAGTTATTACACATATTTTGTCAGTGATGTAGGATAGCTTGACACGTTCCAAATAAATAAAATCTAAAGAAATCTTGTTAACTTACTCGCATAAGAACTACATCCGCAGCTTCTACAGCAACATCTGTACCCGATGATATTGCTATACCCACGTCCGATTGAGCGAGAGCAGGGCTATCATTTACGCCATCTCCTACCATCGCAACTCTTAAGCCTTGATCTTGTAGGCGTTGAATTTTTGCAACTTTATGCGAAGGTAGTACTTCTGCAAATACTCTACTAATACCAACCTATATAATTAATAAATAATGCATAAAATAATGAAAAAAATTGTGTATGATAAATAAACTGGTCAGAAAAAAAGTGAAGCTCACTTGTCTAGCAATAGAGGCAGCAGTTTTTCTGTTATCTCCTGTTAAGAGAATCACCTCCAAACCCATTTTCTTTAAAGTATAAATTGCCAGATGAGCTTCTGGCTTGACCGTATCAGCGACGCTGATCATTGCCACTAATACGTTATTCACTGCAGCTAAAACCGCGGTATGACCTAAATCTTCTTCGCTCGTCATTTTCGACTCTACCTCTGAAGGTATATTTACAGCATTTCTTCTCATCCATTCCCTGTTACCGATACAAATTTCGTAGACGTCATCTGAATTAGTTTGATCGCCATGGGAGTCTGGACTCAGCAACAATTCCAAATCTATATTCTGTCTCTCTTGGCTCGAGCACGCTACAGATACAACATCGATAGATACTTCGTTCAAGGTGCACGTTCCAGAAGACAACTTTTCGACTTGATTCATATAGTTGACGATTTTTTCAGACTTTAAAGCGGTGGCTAGAGACGTTGAAATATGCGATACTTTACACTTGAGTCCACAACCAGCGACTACCTGAATATTTGTACACTGTCCAGTTGCATCAGACCCAATTGTTTCTCTTACGTATCTGACAATAGCTTCAAAAACATAAAAATAATGAAAAAATTAAAAAGTGTAAAAAATATATTATCAACATTCTGTACACGTGAACGTTTGGAAGCTTACCCGATGCAATAGGATGCTCGCTATTCGTTTCAGCCGTACAAACGATAACTAAAAATTTTGCTAATGGGCAAATCTTTTCGTTCGCGAAAAGATTTATTTTTGTTACCATTGGCACACCATGCGTGATAGTGCCAGTTTTATCGAACACGATGCACTTAACTTTGTGCGCATTCTCTAAAGGTTCAGCACCTTTTATTAAAATACCGTTTAGCGCACCGACACCGGTGCCGACCATCACGGCAGTTGGCGTAGCTAATCCTAACGCGCATGGACAGGCGATTGCTAGCACAGAAAGTGCGCTTCGAAAAGCGTACTGAAATATTATTTCCTCTCTGTTCATTCCATGTTTATTTATCTGATCGTTGTGCGAAATCGGTAATTTATTTATATTGATGTATCCCACTATGATCCAGATGAATAAGGTTACAATAGAAACGGCTATAACGAGTGGAATGAAATAACCGGCTATTTTATCGGCTAAATGTTGTATAGGCGCTTTATTCGTCTGTGCCTCTTCCACTAAACGAACTATTTGTGCCAATGTCGTGTGTTCTCCCGTGTGCGTGGCAGTAATTAATAATGGCCCATTTTGATTTATCGAGCCGCCAATGACAATTGACCCTTTTCTTTTTGGCACTGGCATACTTTCTCCAGTTATTAGACTCTCGTCGCAGGTAGACTGTCCTGAGAGAACTCTACCGTCAACAGGAACTTTGGCACCTGGTACTACTTTCAATACGTCACCTCGTTGTACCAAATCTATACTGATTAAACGCTCAGACAGTATCTCATTGTTAGGACCTAGGTGAACTAGAACAGCATCCGTTGCTTTTAACGACAACAACTTTGACAGAGCTTCCGAAGTTTTGCCCTGAAAAGCAAAAACATTGTCTTATGATTTTATTAATTATCGTAATAACCTAGCGAACGAGAGAAACAAACCTGCTCACCTTTGCAACGTGCTCCAACCATCTTCCTAAACTAATAAATACCAGTAACATGGGAGGAGTATCAAAAAATGTTTGAGGACTAACATGTTCCTGCATTATCATAGCTGCTGTAAGTACAGCAACGGAATATAAATAAGAGATCGTGGTGGTCATAGAAATTAAAACGTCCATGTTGGTTGTACCGTGTTTTAAAGCCTTATAAGCTTGTACGTAAAAATGCCAGCCACCAAAAAACTGTAAACATTATACGTTCAAATAATCTATTAAATTTCTAATATTCGCGTAAGAAACAATTGACAAGTACCTGGACCGGTGTAGAAAATATAAAAAGAATCAAGTTTTCCCAAGAAAGACCAGGTACGATACAGCACATGTCTTCGTGCGTTTTCTCGTCCACGGACATAATAACCATAAAATAAGTCATAGCTAGCATACATGGTATGCCAAAAATTAAAGATACTAAAAATGCTGCTCGCCATTTATTTATTTCTTCTCTGAAAAAGTAACAGAACATGTAGGTATCATCTTACGTAGAAAATATCTATGTAGCTACTCTCGAAAAACATTTTAAACAGAGTTCTCTCGAGACACTTACTTTTGATCTAAATAATCTCTGTTCTCCTTATCTTTATTACTAAACAATGTAGCGTTGAAACCCAACTTGTTAATGCATTCGATAATGTCTCTAACACCAATTTTCTCTACGTCGTATCTAAATTTACCTCGCTGAGTTGCTAGCGCAACAGCAGCCGAGAGAACACCTGGCAATTTTTTTACAGTCGACTCTATCTTATTTACGCAAGAGGCGCATGTCATACCCATAATCTGGAAAAACGATATTACATATACTTAGAATGAAACTTACACGTTTTAGCGTATATTCGAAGAAAAATAATTTCATTAAAATATTCGATAAGATTTACTTTTAATTCAATCTCTCCTTCTCCTGTCCCTGGTTCTTCTATCAACGTGGTCGGAAAGCCCAGTTCGGATATACTAGCAGCAATATCACTTGCTCTTATTTTATCGGGATCAAACATGACTTCTGCTTTGGCTGCCATCAATGCTACCAAGATGTTGCTTACGCCATACAATTTTTTACAATGTTTTTCTATAGCAGCAACACAGGAAGCGCAAGTCATTCCCTTAAAACGAAATCCATAATAATAATAATTATTGATACCGTACTGTTGTACGTTGAAAATGAAATAATTAATTATTATAATAGAACGCGAGATATATTGTTACCATATTACGAAAATGTTTACCGTTATGTGTAAAAAACATTTTGTCAATTGAGACTGAGCTTTCACGTCACCTCCGCCGTTTACTTGAAACGATACATCACCATTTTCTACATTATTGTTTTTCAATGGCACGTTTACCATGGCATCAAGACTCTTGCCATTTATTTCTTTCACGACTGCGGTAAAACCCATTTCTTCGATATACTTTGCTATTTGTTCAGCCGTAACTTCGTTGTCGTTGTAGGAAACTTTTGCTTCCTTTTCCAAGCTGACATTCACCTCCTTTATTCCTGGTTTCTCCGATAAAACATCTGTAAATAGATAAAAGTTGTTTAATGGAGAATAATGGGCTTGTATTTAACTAATAAAGATCTTTCATAAGGATGCAGTACCTGTAATACTTTTGACGCAAGACATACAAGTAATTCCATCAACGTGTATGCTACAATGGCTAATGCTGGACTGCAAAGAACCATTTCGTTCGTTTTCGACAGAGCTGTTTTCATCTCCGCACAAGGAAGCCGTAAAACCCATATCTTCTATAGCTTCAACTAACCGACTGGCCGTAGTTTCCACTGTATTATATTCGATGTAAGCAGTCTTTTCTTCCAGGACTACCTTGATGTTCACCACCCCCGGTCGATCACCGATCGTTCTTTCGATGTTCTTCACGCAGCTTTGACATCTCATACCATCGATGTTAATCTTCACCGATGCGCTAGGTTGCATTCGGGAAGCACAAGGTGTGTCATTCTCGTAATCGGCGTCCTCCTCGCCATCCCTGAATAACAATCCAATTCAATATTCTCGATAACTACGATGCGATCCATAAACACGGTTTTTCAACTATTACATGCATGACCAGTCACATTTACTTTCTCTCGATATTAATAAATAACCATTTAATTAATCGACAAAATAAATTAACATTTAACAGTTAACGTTTCGCGATTCGAGGTCTCGTTTCAGAAATATAAACGATTAAAAATTGAACGCTCTTCAAGCGCTCTTCAGTGTATCACCCCGGAAGTTGCATTTTAACGCGCATAATCTATTTGTCATAGTGAAGAATTTTTTGAACATACGATGCAATCAAAATATTATTTAAATAATTAACCCTAAGCGAGGAAACGCATTTGCCTCCAATTACGTCGGTTATTCCTTGTACGAACCATCAATCGTTGTTAACGAATGGCGTAATTGTAGATTATCGAGGCACGTTTTAAAAGCAGCGATAGCAAAACCGCAATGCGTTACGCTTATTTTTCTCTTGTGCCTTATCTCGAACGGAACTAAATTTGTCGTTTTATGTCATTGAAATTACCAATCGTTAGCATTCGGTAAACCCAAGAGGATAAAATGTCTTTGGATTTTTATTGAAACACATAAACAATCGATATCGTACATTTTTTAAGTGCAAAAAAATTGTATTTCGTTAGATTTTCAAACGATTTGTATCACAGTCAAGTAAATCGTGGAAAAGTGGGTTTTGACCCATACAAATTTGGGAAATGTAATATCGTGGAAACATTAAATTCCATTTTGTGACAATTTCAATCGACGATAGCAGAAAGAAGAATGATCGAATAAAATCTTACCAGAGCATATTTATTGCTCCATATTCTTTTTCGATCAAAAGTTGCGTATCATCGTCCATCTTACTAGCTAATTAGGAGAAACTTTCTCGTGATTTGTTCCGAAAGAATAAGTTGTCTTTAGGACCGATCACACACGGTATTGCACAATGAACCGCAACGGTTCGATTCGAATACCGTTCGAGTGAATTTTATTCGTCATACGACGATCAATTATTTATAATATTTTAGCCGATAAACGTTGTCACGTTTAACCCTTTGCACTCTGACAACCAATCCGGTTAATTTCAACTTTTCAAATTTTATTCCATACGCTCGCGCGTAGAAAAATTTACCCAAAGTTGAATAAAATGCATAAAATGTTTCAAAGATAAACGATCACGCTCCATATGTTCTATAAATGAAAGTCGAAATATTATTATCGAAAAATAAGCACGGAATCGTTTTATCGCATTGAATCGAGAAAGAATTGTTATTAATATCTTATTTCTACGCGTAAGATACAATAAAGTTTAATCGTTTAACATTGAAATTCTCTTGTACAATAAGATTATAGACAAAGTATCGACAGTAAATAAGAAGAATAAATGAAATTCTTGGACTTTGCGCAGCGATCTAATCGATCTACGCTTAATCTCGTTGTGACTGAATCGCAACGCTAATAACTCGAAGCAGTTGATCAGCAAACAAATCCTTGTATAATATTGTACATTATCTTATAAATAGGCATGATTGTTTGCAGTGTATCGTTGAAGTAGTAGTAGTAAAACTAAAATTGCATCTAGTTGAGTATATATCGGTAAAGAAGTTTGAAACCATTTAGAGTGATTGTTCCTCTTGAACAATTTGCAAAGGTTCACCCGACGTTCACTCACGTCGCCAAGCGTAGCAATTCGTTAGTAAAGATTCGTTGACGATCTCCGAAGGATCATCGAGTTTCCTTATTAGGAGAAGTACGTTTCTCGAACAGGGAAATGGAAGAACGTTCGCGATAAGTGGGGTGATCGTAAACGAACCACAAGACCACGGCTCGACTCGAATTGATATCACCGAACGAACGACTGATAACTGGTGTAATCGGGCCGCGGCACGTAGACCAGCTCTCGATTCCGGGTTTTTGCTCACGGCACTCAATCGTCTTCGCGTTTTCCTACAACCATCGAGCCGCTTGCACACGACACACGATACTTTGCTTTTTGTTTTGCTGCAGATCTTGCCACGATTCGATCATCAGGACCGATCCGTGACACCGACCCGTTCCAGCTACCTGCAATATATCCGATATATCGTTTTGCCATTTTTTAATAGCTATCTTTTTCGGATGACTCGACCGAGATACATTTCGGGCAATTTAAGTTTCTTAAATTGTCAACCGTCTACAGTGGTGTGTGACACTTCTCTACTATATAGAAATATACTCCACTGTAGTTTAGATTTAAAAAATTGATCCTCTAATTTTCTGACGAACATTTAAGCATTTGCAACGTAAACACTTTCATCTAATATGTACGCTTAAAGAGGAACGGTAGAAAAGAAAGCGGCCGTCACACTTTCTGCTCGCGATACTTTCGTTGATTTCGCTATTACTTACTTAAATTACTGGAATAAATGGCTATTAACAAGTCAAATAATTAAAAGAATAATTTCATCGAATAATTAAAGAAAATATCAAAGATAAATAAGCGTAATGAAAACATAACTATTATAGGCAGGCCAGATAAAAATTTGGAAATATTAAGAGCGAATTGTCCGAGATTGTGAAATAGAATTGGTACCTTTTACTACCTTCGTCGTGTGTTTTATCGCTATTCGTTATATTATCACGAGTTGCATTTGACAACTGTAAACCTATATATTTGCAAGAAAGCTTCGAGGTCCCGAGCACTCGAATGTAGGGAAATACTTAATCAGTGGGAACTAATAATCAGAGATAAAAGTGATTACAATACAATCAGAGATACAGATATTGATAAAAAACGAAGAGAGATATAAATTAAAGTTATAAATATTTATAAGTCAGAGATATTAGAGAGTATGATGTAAAAATCAATGAGAATAATTTGGTAGACAAGAGAACGAATAAAATTGCTAACATAAACGAAATATTGCTACTGTACTAACAATGTAAAATAAATGAAAGGATATTTTGATATCCAGAAATTGTTTCTGATAATTCTTATCGTCCAGAACAATAATTCGTGCCTTTAATCGTTCTTACCGCGTATCGGTAGAACAATCTACGTGTCAGTATCCTTGATGATCCATACTGTCCCGTATCGCAGTGAAATCTCTATTACTATATCGGACAACGCATTAAATAGCTTTAATTCGAATGAAATAAATAGTATGTACAAATAGCGTTATCAAATCGCGTGATCCAGAAATCTAACGGTTAACTCGGCAAATAAATATTTGATTTCGTACGCGTTTTATTTTCACCTCTAGTTTGAAATCGGAAATAAAGAAAAGTATACTAACCCTATCAGTCTGACGCTTTCAGCCTTCGAAGAAAATTTCTGACGAACATCGAACGATATAGTTCTATGCACGAAAGGTACGGCAAATGTCATTCTCAACCGATTCATTTTCGTCGATTCACAGTTTCCATACTTTGCACTGATTTTTTCCTGCTGTACTACTGGTAACGAAAATTTATAGAAAATGGAATATAATCGAGCATAAGTGCTTCACCGTTATCGCGTCCTCGACATATTAATTATACGACAGTTGGGTCGATTTGTCGGTTCTTTTATACAATACGGTGGAAGGAAACAAGTTACAGTGTTTACTTTGCTGTTGTTTATCTGTTCAATCATCCAAGTAGCGCAAAAGCAAATTTTGCGTTATGGCAACTGTATGTACAGCGGCATTAACGACGTTCTCGCTAACGTTGTTATTCCAAATACATACTTGCTTCCGTTTTATGCATTCGAAAAGAAATATTTGAACGATTAACATATTCTAGATATAAGTCGATGTGGCGATGCAATATATGACGGTAGAACGCGTGGCAATTCACTGCTATGTATAATGGGTGGCGATATCGTGGGTGACGACACAACAAGACTGCACTTAATTGTTTCGTTTCGTGATCTGATAATTCACCTGTCAACATTTATTTCGTGAGATATTCTTGAAAACTGACGAATCGAGAAGACAGCGATAGGTACTTGTCGCCTTTACCGCTTGATCTGTTTCCTTTCGAAAACCCAAATGAAGCTTGCACACACATTCTCGATTATCTCGAATTACGTGCACTTTTGCCGATTGTCACGATCCTTTTATCTTTCCGCGCGTTACTATAAACAAGAAACAGTATTTTCATTAAGTCGTAACTAACTAACGACCCGTTGTATTTTGTAGTCGCGTCGCATCAAGATATGCTGCGAATCCTGATTCATATATATCACGAGTTCGGTCTGGATGCTAAACGAATCATATCTAATACTCGAAGTACAACTTTCAGAAACTTGGCAAACCGCAAACCTTCGCTTCGTTTCCTTATTTACGCTTCGAAATGAATCTGAATCAATAATGTTTTCGATGAAATTGGCGGAAGAGTTCGAAACGAATCGAAATTGTAACAGATAACTTAGAAAATTAGAAATTAAAAAATAGAAAATTAGAAATTAGAAAGAGATGCACACGAATCGCGAGGAAAGAAATTAGAAGTGACATTGCTCGGGAACAAACACTTGGTAAATACGATCAGAAGCTGGCACGGAAACGCGTGTTTCAATGGAACAAGATACACGTATTACTTCCATGCAGCTGAGAATAGTTTAGGCATCGCACGATCGAAGAGAAAGGCGTGTTCTAGTTATGTATATCGATACAAGTTTTTTTCACCGTATCGTTTCGTTGTTTTTCTAATCGCGTCAAATCAAAAACCATTTATCCATTTTTACTTATTCGCAGGCTCCCGCGAACAATAGACTTTCGAACAAAGGAACTAATAAATGGATGATCGTTTGACCGACGAACGACCCCGGTACATTCGCTTTGTAAGGAATTATCAACAAAGGAACGATAAAAGAACGAATTGACTCACCGTTTAATTCTATTAGAATATGCAATTACAATGCCTTACTATGATTTCAAGCCATCTTATAATGTTATTGATTATATATACATGGGTATAAATCTGGTTCATATAAAAATTTCTAATTTTCCCTTATGTAATGTACAAATCTAATTAAACAAACCTATTTAAAAGATTTACAGTAAGAGTCAATTGTTATCTTTGCGAGATACATGTAACTTACCAGCTTTTCGAAGAATCCAAAAACCTGTATTTGCAGCTACTAAAAACTTTCGACATTACGAGCTAGATTTTTCCTTTGTTAGCGTAATGTTTTTGTAATTTCACTGCACTAATTGAAATGCTTTAACCACTTATTATTAACAATTGCGATTGTCGAAATTTAAATAAAATCTTTTCGAATTTACGATTAGAGTATCGTCGCTAATAGCCGTCATAATGAAATTGAATTTACACTGCAGAGAAGAGGAAACGCATTTGCTTCGAGTTTTTAACAGATCAATAGATGGCGATCGAATTTCGATAAACGATCTATCCTATGCTTTGATTAGAAAATATCACCATTGCGAATCATCGCGTTCGTTGAAACGTGAGCGCTCAATAGCATTCTTCTATTCTTCTTTTTCTATCATCTAAGAATAATTTGTAAAACACGTTTATGCAATTTATGCAATTCGGTAGAAATTATTTGTATCGCTCTCTGATCACGAATAACGCTTATACGATATTTTTCTTTTTAAATATTCTAGGTAAAGGCTATTTGTCCAAATTGCCAGAATAAAGTTGCTATCGTATCTACAAACACAGATATAATTCGTTACCGAGTTTAAACTAACAACATAAATGAGTAGTAAGCAACAATGCTGACAGAAAATTTACTTAACCTTGGTTGGTTGAAAGTATTTAAGTAATTAAATGATAAAAATATCAACAGTATACATACTAAAATAATGATTAACCAAACAGTAATTTGTATTCTAACATTTTCCATTTCAAACAGGTACCAAATATTTGCTTTCTTATAACGATGTAAATAAACAAACATTGATACGTCATATTTAATTTAAAACAAGATCTTTTCTTATTCTTATTAACATAAAAATATAACTGCTTACTTTTTCTTTGTGGCTGCTATGTTTGCTTCTTTTGCTTTCCCTTCGTCGGTTCGTCCTATAAGAACAATAATCAAATATCAATTTCTGTGATACATATGTATAAACATTCTCTGCACTTAAATATTGACATAGTATCGAATATCAAAATGCTCCGATACATTTCCAGATAAGATTGATTTTTTCAGTGGCTCTATCAATTCCTTCAACAAATTTTATATGTGACACTATGCACTACTTAAATACTATTTAATGTTAGGATCTAGATATCGCTAATAATGAAAGGATCAATTACTGCTTATGCTTTATACTCATATAAATTACAAATAAATAAATAAATAATATATTATTTAAAAAATCCGAATTACCTGTGTTAATTTTCTCAAGTTCATGATCATCTTCTATTAACTTTTTTCCATTAACTATCTCCATCTCTTCTGCAATATAACATAATCAGTAGATTAATACATAATTTAAATATTTATTAAAATGTATAGCAAAATTTTAATTGACCATTCCACAAATAATTATGTTCCTATGCCTGTCATTTATTTTATATCATTCAGAATCATACATTTTCCTATCTATATTTTGGATATCTTTATCATTTATTGTTAATTCAATAGGTCCTTTAAACGAATTCCAGATAAAGATGATCGTTATATTTTACCTAATAACTTTTCTTTAAAAATACAAGGACTGAAAATGTAACAAAATGATTATATACAAATTTATATGTACCTTTAATTTCATAAATTTCATAAATTTATTGGCATCTTAAATATCGCTACTAAAAATACTATATTTGCTTGTGTAGATTCTGAACAAATGGGGAATTGTATGAGAAATACTCTATTAAAGAAAAATATTTAACATTTATTTTTAATAGCCAAGTTGCACTATATAGAAAGAAAGATGTGTACATTTTGATCTACAATTGAAATCGAATGATTTTATTTAGTACTTTCTTATACAATCTCCTATAACAAAATACATGTATGATAATAAATTAACATCTGATATTAATTCTATATCAACAATGCCTATTAATACATCAATGAAACTATTAATTAACAATATAATAAAATGAACTCGTACTTTGTTAATATGTAAAAAATAAACCAAAATTAGCACTGCTGAACATTAACTTACAAAATACAAAAATAAAAATACATACCAACAGATTTCACAATGAATCGAAATTGAATAGAATATTTTCATCAAAATAAAAGATATAACTTATATTTTGTCTATTCGCTCTATTATGCACACTATATACCGTCAAAAAAGAACACATCACTCATAAAATCTTTTCATTCACTACTCTCAGCTTAAAAACACACACTCACTTTGAATTAGCCGAGCAAAAAATATGTGTCAACATGTGGTTAGGTTAGAGAATTTTCTTCTACTTTATAAAGATCCTAGCTGAATACCTTCATGAGTCATTACAATGATAACCTATATATGTATTTATAATACAATTATATTGTACTTTCTTTTGATAAATTTATTACGATCTGAGCAGTAATTTGAAATTCAATAAAAACTACACGAATGTCAGTGCCAACATTACACCGACAATAGGTTTCTCTTCGTACTGTGACATCGAAGTGGTGCTTCTGTTACTGCCGCCAATGAAAATATTAAAGGTTTGGTTAGTCTCGGATACATGCAAAATAAGATTAGAACCCAGGACCAAAAAGCGAAAAAGTTTATTTATATATTCACTATTCAGTATATTGAGCAATAATTTTTAAAATATTCAAATCGAATTTAAATAATAAAAAAAATGCTAGATTTTTTCTCGCAATTAAATATTCAGGAAAAGCTATAAAAGAAGTAACATTTATGGATTTTTTATATATTTAATAAATTATCTTATGCTAATAATATAAGCAATATATAATTGTATATAACTTAATGTTAAGTTCTTAAATTATGCGTATAATTTATATTTTATTGAGAAAATACGATACAACTCTAGGAAATTGTAAAATTTTTATATTATTTCTCTATAAACGTTTTCAAAATGTCGCGCGCAATTAATGAGTCTGTGTCTGTGTTTCTTTCTATTTTTTTATGTGTATGATATACATAATTAATGTATATACACATTTCTGTACAAATACGTACATTTGGCATATAGAAATGATATCTACTCTAAACAGCTGTTACCTTATCAAACTTAGCACATTACTAAGCTGATGTAGATAATTTAAAAATATAGTATTGGAGATCATATGTTATAGATAGTTAACCTGATATTTTTACAAATATTATTCTTTAAATTCCTATTAATTTCATTCAGAATTATAAAAGCTGGTACGTATTTTCAAAGTATCAATGTTACATTAAACATGGTAGTAATAAAAAAAATAACTCGTATAAATTCTTTTTCAAAACACATTTTTATATAAATATGTATTTATGAATGGTATCTTAAGTCTGTTATTGAAAAATAACTGGTAATTGTTAAACATTTACGGTGGTACAATAATACTAGATTTCTAGCAGTATTGACAATGAAAACATGAGTTTTTATTTTCTTATGCAAAATTTCTATTTGTGTAAGAACTCTGTATCTTATTTAATTTTCAGGGCTTATATTGTATAAGTTTCACATTCTGATTCTGATTCACATTAAGATGCATATAGCATTACCGTTAAACATGTTAATGCTTATAGCTATTTGTAAAGTATTATGTATATTAATTGTTATACCTATTATGGTAATAACATGGAGAAAAAAATATTCTAAAATACGGGCCAGAAGGTCAGAAAAAAGGACAGTCGTAGGTTTTTTTCATCCATATTGTAATTCTGGTGGTGGTGGTGAAAGAGTACTTTGGGCTGCAGTTAATGCAATACAAAACAGGTATAAAAGCTTTTAAACTGACTATTTAATACATATTAAAATGTAAATATTGTAATTTTAATGAATGTACTCTGTTTTCTTAGATACCCTAATGTACACATAGTCATTTATACTGGAGATCTTGATGCTCACCCAGATCAGATTCTTAGTAATACAGAAAAAGTATTCAACTATAAGATTAAACCCAAAATTGAATTTGTATACTTGCATAGACGCAAATGGATAGAAGCTACCATGTACCCTTATTTTACAATCCTGGGACAAAGTTTAGGATCAATTTGGTTAGGTATTGAAGCTTTAAACAATTTTGTTCCAGGTGAATATACTTTATATCATTGTAGTATATTTTTCACATATTAAACTATATTTAATATTAAGCTATACGTAGTTTTAAAATTATAATAAAATACAATTTCAGATATTTATATAGACACCATGGGTTATGCATTTACGTATCCATTATTTAGATATATTGGTGGGTGTCGAGTAGCAACATATACTCATTATCCGACAATTTCAACTGATATGTTAAAACATGTTTACAGAAGAGTAATTTCACATACTAATAACAGAGTTGTAGCAAGAAATCCATTTTTATCAGCTGCCAAACTTGCTTATTATAAATTATTTGGACTCGTATGTATATAAAAACTATAAAATCATTAATTTTCCGAATTATAATTTATGCAAAATTGCTTCAGATATATGGTTGGGTTGGCAGGAGGGCTGAAATCATAATGGTTAATTCTTCATGGACCGAAGAGCACATTAACACAATATGGAAATGTCCATTGAAAACTCATAAAATTTATCCACCATGTGATGTGAAGCATTTAACGTCACTACCTCTTTTTAATGACGATGAAAAGTCTTATAGTATTCGTATAATTTCCGTTGCACAATTCAGACCAGAAAAAAATCATCCATTAATGTTAAGAGCCATGTATGAACTTAGGTCAATCGTTAAAGAAGAAGTTTGGGAAAAAGTAACTATAATAGAATTTAATAATACAGATTATAAAAAAAGAAAATATTATATTAATATTATATCATTTTTTCAGGTTCGATTAATACTTATTGGTTCCTGTCGAAACTCTGAAGACGAAACTCGTGTGAAAGACATGCAAGATTTATCTAAACACTTTGCGTTAGAAGAAAATGTGGAATTTAAATTAAATGTACCCTATTCGGAACTTATCTCTGAATTTCAGAAAGCAACAATAGGTTTACATACAATGTGGAACGAGCATTTTGGAATTAGTGTTGTTGAATGCATGGCGGCAGGATTAATTGTAGTAGCTCATGCTTCTGGTGGTCCAAGGTGAAGTCTTAGTCAAGTTGCATAATCAACAACATATGTAATCATAACGCGAAAATTAAAATGACGATGACAAATTTATACACTATTATAGAGCTGATATAATAGTAACTCAACCTGGATCTCAAAACGGATTTTTAGCTACAGAAGCTGAAGAATATGCAAAAATTATGGCACATATTATTAATATGCACCCAGATGAGCGTAAAGCAATTAGAATGGTTGCTAGGTATGCAATTTACATTTTCGTGTAAAGATATTTCTAGACAACGTTACCGAGTATAAATCATTTTTTTTTTAGAGCATCTGTAAACCGATTTTCAGACGAAATATTTGAAAGAGAATTTTTAAGAACAATAGAACCATTCTTCAGACAAAAACAGGAATAATAACTTTTACAAAAATTAATTATAATTAAATCTGTAATTTTATAAAACTATAAGAAACTATGGAAATGTCTTATTATATAGATACATCTTGATACATAATTTATTTAAATAAGGAAAAATAAAAAATTATGCGATAATACAAACAGCTATTGCTACTATACATGTGTGTATACGAGTATATCCTTTGCAGTCAAATAGCAATTATTGCCATACAAAACACGCAAGTGTTGTTTATCATATATTTTTGTTTTCATAACCACAACCTTCACATTCTAAAGTATAAGAAATGCTGTCTTTATCCTTATTTTCGCATAATTTAAAGCGAAGATTGAAATCCTTCAACATTAATTCTGCTACTTTTATAGCAGTTTCAGTGTGGCAAGTAAGCTTTTTACTTCCAAGTTTAATTTTGGATAAACCTTTGGCTAGAGCTATCAAAATTATTAACTAAAAAAAGAAAATGAACAATAACAATATTACATTAACAAATTTTGTAATTATTCGTAATTAGCTTTTGGAAATATACCTGATCTTGAGCATGATCATCAACACAAGATCCTGCTAAAATTGTATCCAAAATTTCCTTGGCTGCTTGTGTACCTGGTGATATTTGTTCTTGACGCCCAGAACCCAATCCAGAACCACCAAAAACACATCCAGTAGTTGTTGCACATACTATACTAAAATCAATTACATTTCATTATTAGATATAAAGTACAAAAAAATAAATCTTCATATATTGAAATATCTTACTTAATACCAGACCCATTACCAACAGCTACTGTCTTATCTTCTTTGTAAGCTTCAATATTTATTGATGGCAAGGAAATATTATGTTTGTTCAAACCTTCTGTTAAAACTGATTTTGCATCGTCTGCCATTTTATATGCTTCCTTCAGAAATAAAAAGATAAAACTTATTCTATCACTTTGAAACATTTAATTTGTAACATAGCATTTATGTTGGAAAAAATAACGAGTAATATACATACTCTAATATGAACAACACCTGCAACATATGCCCATCCTACTATATCACGAGGAATTCCTGGATTAGTTAAAGTAACAGCTTTCAATGAATGCACAGGTTCTATGTGTAAATGTACTTCTCCGCCTCCTTTTGGATAATAACCCCTCCATTGATTATTAAAAAGTTAATTTCTCTTAATATTATGTATATCCTCTAGTAAAATATTAATAACATTACAGTTTTTTCAATTATATTTTGTATACAGGATATCCTAGCTAAAACGTACAACCTCCAGACTATAGATTTTTCATGCCAAAAGTATATAGGTGCTCACGTGTACAAACATATATTCACATACCTGGAATACCCAATTCTCAATCACTTATACCTTGAGAACAAAGCTGCAGATTACAAAATGATAAAGAACTTTTGAAGTTCTTTTATTACAAAGAACCTATAGTTTGCAGGTTGCACACTTTGATTGGGACATCCTGTATATTACATATACCTTGACACAACATTGAAATCAAAATTAGCTCCAAATTTATTAAGTAATGGTCTCAACACTTCAGTAAGATATTCTATATGTGGTCCCATCGGAACATTTGTGCCTCCTTTAAGAATTAATGTAACTCTTTGAGGGAAGAAAAGAGCGCATGGTAGAGCTACTTGAGCTAACAAACAAATGCAACCAGCAGTTCCTGTATCTATAAAAAACTTATTTCTTTTATCACTATTTAGTTGCTTGGGTTTAAATTCCAAAGCTGTTGATCCTATATAGTCTCCTTGTACTTCAGCATTGCACATATTCTTCAATAGTTCTACTCCTGTAATAATATTTCAATAAAAAGAAAGTAAATAATTACAAATCAGAATCCACAAAAAATATAACTCACATAAATTACAAATCATAAAAATATGTTGATTTATAAAAATATACCTTTTAAATGCTGTGCTGCAAGTCCAGGTTTAGGGCGACCCGCTCGTATGTTATTAATTTTTAATGGAATTTTATATAGAGCACTCAAACAAAGTGCTATTCTTAATACTTGACCACCCTGCATCAGAAATGAAATGTTTCCAGATTTTTATGAAAAGTATTAAAATTTTAATATCAAAACATTTTAACATTAAAACTAAAATTTATCAATAGTATAACCAAATGTAATTAATAAAGCGAATAACTTTAAACTACTTACACCTTCTCCTAAACTTCCGTCAATTTGTACTGCAGAAGACATTTTACGAGTGACACAATTTAGTATGTAACAAATGCGTGGTATCCTATTATAAATAAATAATTTTGGCTTATACGAATATGAAATCGTTTACTCTTTAAAGCATTTGTTAAATACATTCATACATAAAATATATAACATATATGTTGCCTCACATCTCACACGTGCGTGATGCGTATACAGGGGCGGTATACTCAAGTACATTCAAGTGTAAATATAGCATCCCTAGAGAAAGTAACAATCAAAGAGGAGATTTCCACCCCCTACTGTTGCACCAGACATTAGTATACCAAAAAATGAACAATACCTTATAGTAAAGTAATTCATTTAAAAGGTCAGAATATTTCGAAAGCCACACTTTTATACATACATTTTTAAAATATATATTTATGCATGTTTTCTCTCTGAAAACAATGTCATTAACATCATCTAGCGGCAAGCGGGGCTATTAGTAAAATACAAAAATGCAGATAGGTATTTATTTACTTTAGTAGCTTTTATAATACTCGAGAATTGTCAGAAATAGCGTTTGAGGTCGTAAAATATTTTCCCCTTTTTTTACCCAACAGGAACGAATCTTTTTCTAAAAAGATACTGGATGACTCTGATGATCACCATAGAGTACATGAATAATTGAAAATACATAGGCATATAAATACATCAAGAAAAAAGGAAACAATCTTTTAAAAAAACCGCCACTAATGCTGTTAACGGCGCCATCTAACAAGAAACTACCGAACTATGATGAATACGTGTAAAGTACCGACCAGATTTTGTCGGTAATTAATTGATTACACTCCAACGGTAATATACCATCAGCGAAGTTTCTATTGTAGTGCCGCGTATCACTACTAGATGGCGCTGCGTCGAACCTGCCTAAAGGGGCGTTCAGATTAGGCAAGCACCTGCCAAAATAATTGATTTTTATTAATTTTCTACAAGATTCGATGCTACAGTACATACTAATATGTACATATTATTATGATAATTCCGTCCTAGAATTAAGTGTTAATAATAGAATTAAGTGTTAAATCTATTAATAAAATATATTAAGTCATTTGATGTACAAAAGTGTTTGAAAATAAATATGAATAAAAACATGTATTTGTATATTTACTTACACAAAAACCTGTCATTCCGATCCCCAAAAATTGTCCCAAACTTTAAAAAATAAAAAACAAAGTATTGAGAATTTGCACCAGAAGAACATGCATTATGAAGAAGTACTCTTTGTGCTTCATGGAATTTTCATAACGTCATTTCAAAAATTCTCGAGGCGCGATTTTTGAAATTCAAGCAACAGATTTTGGAAATTTGTATCAGGAGAACATAAGTTGTGAGGAGGTATTCTTCGTGCCACTTCTTGAAATTTTGCTGACGTCATTTCCAAGAATTGCCGGGCGCGATTTTTGAAATTTAAGCAACCGATTTTGAAAATTTGTATCAGGAGAACATAAGTTATAAAGAGGTATATATCATGCTATTTCTTGGAATTTTTGTGACGTCAAATTCCAGGAATTCTTATGTTCTCTTAATACAAATTCTCTCTTTTGAATATGTATGTAATTTTTTATTCTGTTGGGCTTGTTAGGTAACAATAAATACACAATGATTGTTGATAAATTTTTCTTTATTTTCACCACTTTTCATACAGAGCAGAACTTAATTAAACTTATTGTTTAATCATTTAATTACTAACTTGTGAAACGCCCGTGCTATAGACGGGGAATTAATCAATTAACCTTGACCCCGTGCGCCGTCCTAAACCGTAAAATGTAGACATGCGCAGTAAATTTTTTACAAAGAGGCTTAACCCAGAAAAGTCAAATGGACCCGTCTTAATGATGACGTAATTAGTTTTTACGTATCCCTTAAAAAGTGTTCCTTAATAAGGGTTTTACTGTACTATCATTGTAAGAGTACACATATAATATTTTTCTGCCTTCTTTTCGATGTATGCCTACCACGTGTCAGCGTAACTCACGGACATGTTCTGTGTCAGAATATGATACCATACATACCAATATATGTATGTATACATCCATTAGTAGTACTTACATGGATGGCACAACACATGTGGCACAATCACTTTGTAATATTTCTTTTACGAAACTATGTGTATGGCACATAATAATTTGAACAAATTATATGAATCATGTAATGCGTAATAATAATATAAGTCAAATTTTACTTTTTGTATAAATACTAAATACATATAATGCTTATAAATAGAATACGACAGTTTATTACTTGTTTCTTGCTACACTATGTCACTTTTATAATTTACATTTAACAAAATAAATTCAGTAATTGAATATGATACAAAATTATTTATTTTAGGAAAAAGGGAATTTATTCATTAATACAGAGTATAATAAACTTATCTACATAGATACGTAGTAATTTGTATATTTTTCTTTATTTTCATTTTTTTGTGTATGTAAACTATAACATTTTACTGAATTTTATTGCTGGTAAAATATTTTTTATTGATTAAATTATTATTTGTATTATTGTATATACGTAGACAAAAATTTATTGTAATTTACAAGAATAATAGGTAATCAATTAATTACATAATAGAACGTCATCCTTTTGACTTCTAAATATACTTTAATTTTACTAGAATCCGCGAAATTTGTTTATTTTCTAATATACAAAATTGTTCCTAGTGTTTAACAATGATCAAATTACACTAAATATTGTAGTAAATTGTTTTAAATACACTTCTTAAGAGCTTTGAAAAAGAAAATGTAAATATATAAATGAATTTATAGTACATCAAGCACTGTCATTTTTTACTATATTGATTATTTCAAAGTTAAATGGTCCATAGAACATTTTACGTTGTTCTTTGTTTGTACGTTTACATTCTTACACATAAATATATTTTGTACAAAAAAAAGTATTAATTTCATTTTGAAAATGATTAAATCTTATCCTATTTGTTATTACATACAAAAATTAGTATTTCTTAAGTTTCATTTTATTATTATTTCAGTTCATATATAATACGATTAATAAAGTTAATAGAAACAATCGAGAAAGATCAGTGTTTTAAATTATAAATATATTCTGAAAATGCATTATGAATTTTGATTATTTACATATTTAAATAACAGATTAATCAACTTGTATTTTGTAAATCTAACTTAATATGCTATGTGCCATTTGTTTTAGTAATTTATGTTGTAAAAATATTTTGATAAAATGAAGTAATTCATGACGTAAATATGTCTTATGACTAGCATAAACTGGCTAAAGATACAGGTATTCTAAAAATCAAGTTTTTTATGAAGATCATAATCTCTTCGTGATTTTACATATATATCATTTAAGACCAAAATATTTTATGTACAGTAAGAATATGACACCTCCATTTTTTGCAAATAATATTCTTTTCCTCGTATAATATTTTTAATTTTGATAAAATGTTATTATACTTTATTTGAAGCATTTTTGTTCCATTTTTTGTCTATATATTATATTTAAATGCAAAACCTAGCATATGAAATAAGTAGACAATAAATTATTGCAGATAAACATTTAATCTTCAAATATCCTAGACTATACTTCTGCCATTTAATAATTGCTACATTTGAAAACTACAGTAGTAAAAAATCCTATCACAAATTGTGGCAGTGCAACTAATAATTAATTCTATAATACTATATACCTTAAATTAATTTTATACGTAAATATACTTTCACAGCTGACATTTTTATGTTGCATTTCAGCAAGTTTGCTTAAAGCGTTCAATTACATTACTAACCCTTTGCGCTCGTAATTGCATTTATAAGTAACATGAGTATACGTCATATTCTTTAAATAATTTTTTAATAATTTTATAAAAACGTTGCCTAAATTCTAACTAATTTTGGATCATATTAAATATGATCTATATCAAAGGCAACTTTCAATTTTTGGTTTTGAGATTCTTTTGGTCATTATTCATAAATTACTTAAATATGATAAATTACTTATATGTACAACAGCAAAATAATAAAACGAAAATATTAAAATAATATGCAGAAAGTTTGGAAAACACAATTGGAGTGCAAAAGGTTAAACAGCTCAAAGTGTTTACTATAAATGCATTATTACATTTTTTACTTGATTGACATATTATAAAAACGTTTAACAGAAATTTTTTCTATTTACAGTAATTCGTAGTCTTTCCTTAAACGACACATTATTTAAATACAGTCTTGCGACAAAATATCAAACTTTAAATTTTGTAAATCTTTTAGCATCAAGATTTATTGAACATTTCGATTAGTTTATGTAATTTTATATAATTTATTTTTTAATCTTATGTTCATATTAGTATATAATCAATTTTTATTCACGCTTTTTAACGTGATTCGGAAACATATTAATATACTTATGATAATGTTCATATTTATAATACACGAATTACAATGGACATTGTATCACATTAATTTTTAATATTACTAAAATATGATGTTACTCTTTGAAATTTCAAGATGATATTAAAATATGCAGTTTCAATTCTTATTTCATTTTTGTTTCACAGCATCTGTGTGCTTTACAGCAGTAATACTTAATGAACATAAATATTCGAGAATAGAAATCATTGTCTCTTTTTATAAAATGAATGGTACGATTAAAATACTTTTTTAACATATTTCACATATGAAAAATAATATCGGTTTAGGAATTCAGAGTGCTGTAATGAATAATTTTCTTGATATCGACTTTCTGATATATGTATAACGTAAGAGATATCCGAAATTTAGTCATACGACATAAATACATTATCATTTGTACTTTCTATTTCACTTTTTAAAAAAAATTGATTTTAAACTTCAAACTGAAGTCTTTCTTTGCCCGGTATTTTGAACAAACATTCAACTTCCGATCCAGCACCTTAAAAATAATCTATCATTAGTTGTAAGATGTGTCATTTTATTTCTTAATTTCCATAGTAATTATGATAGTGAATAGCTTACGTTAAGGCCTCGATACTGCTATTTAACGCCTCTTGTTTCCATGACGTCGACCGAACTTACGATTTTTTCTGTAAATAAAAAAGATGTTTGTTCTTTTTTTTTTATACTTAAGATCAAAATCAAATAATTTCTGACGATTAATAGCGGCTAAGCACTTTATCTTTTTCATCAGTTGAGATTAACATATATGTGCTTTGAATATTAAAGAGCTCCCTCAGTTTAACCTTTCTGTTTTATTTACCTAATTTTACTCGGTGAAGGAACCGGAGCATGTTCAGCGATAGCGGGTAATACAGAAATAAATTTATCAGTTGGACGTAAAAGACGCGCTGTACGAGAGGACAATTTCCATATCAGTCTTTGTCTGTGAGGGGTTTGTTCTTGGGCATTATATTTGCTCAATATAGCACCCACAGCTTCATGCGTAGAAAAGAAACTTGTATCTGAAATCTAAACAAAAATAAACCAAACAGATGATTATTAACTTATTTCAGTTTATCAATTTAATAGAAAGACCTGATAATGATCAGATTATTGTAATTTTACCTTACATAATTTTTGAAGTTCCACAGCAAATTCTAAAATTCTAAGCATTTGATGCTTTGATGTAACAGTTGTATTGATGACAGAGGAGCTAGAAGTAGCAGTTGCAGATATGGTGTTATCCGTATTAGCATCCAATCGATTAACAGCATTATCTAAATATATGCACAGTAGTACAAGTGCCACCTCTGATGGCTTTAAGCTAGCACAGTTACCATCACAAGCAACCATTTCTAACCTGAGAAGGAGTTCTGATTCCTGAAACAACATAAATTACAAATAAACTACAATTCAATGGTATTTTATATTTTTAAATAAATAAAAAATCATCTTACCGTAATGATACTAGTATACACTTCTCCTAATCCTAGCTGCGATGCAACAGCATGAAACATTGCATTGAATAATCGAAGAAAAGTTAAAGATGTAACAGGTTGTGTACCAGGTGCCCATTCTAACTTATTTTGTATAACTTCTGACATACGTTTAAGATCACCACCGGTACATTTACATTGAGAAATAGAGACTAAGTGATCAGCATCTAAGGACTGTGCTAACTGGACAGCAGCTATGTGAAAAGCAGATACACTGATGCAAGCCATATGTTTTGGTCTTGCTTTCATCTTTGTTAAGAAGCGATCCATCAAATTGATAGCAACAAAAAATACATCAGATGGTAAATCATACCATACTTTTAGGCATCTTAGCACATGAGCTGATCCGTCACGAGCTCCAATTGTTATTTCATCATTCTAAAAAAGAAACCAACATTTTGTAAAAATAACAAATACTTATAAAGTCGTTTACATAAATAATGAAAGAATATAATAATCATATATGAGATTATCAAATATTAAGATATTCTATATTATCTGTACTTACTTGTGATATAGTGGGTAACTGTAGGTTAGGTTGATATTTTACTTCAAGAACCAAAGCTTCCTGCAACTGTTCGAATAAAGGGTGGATTGCATCCGGTACAGGCAAGCCCGATGTGTCCATTCCTGCAATGTGTGACTTGCAGCTCACTACAGCAACGATGAGGAGGTAAAGAAAAACACAAGATGTGTAGTGTGCCTGATGATATGAATGTCACACAACAAGAATGGCGCAGCTGGCTAGCCTTGTATCTAGAAAAAAAGAGAAAATAATATTAACATTAATAAAATCATGTAAAAAAGTTGAATTTTAATTTAAATTATTCATCTTATTACCATCGTAACATATAATATACTTTTAAAATAGCAGTAAAGAAGAGATCAATTAATTTTTAATCATTCTAAGAGTTATTTAAATATATTTGAAAGACTTATAAATTTGTTTAGAAATTTAAACAAAATTTTGAGGAATAGCAAATAATAGATATTAGTAGCATAAAGAAGTTTCTATTGGCCAAGTATAAATAGCATTATTAAGAAATTGAATGAGCTTCTCATATTATTTTATTATATTAATACATACTTGTTAATTTTACATAAACAGATGATATAGAGTAAAATATATGTGCACATCTACATTTTTAATTAATGTTTTATGCTTCTGTATACGTTCGTAATCACGCGCCGCCAAATAAGATATCCAGAAGTTTTGAAGAACATACTAGAAAAGTATTCCATTCGAAATAACATCGATTGTATGTAATTTTTCATCTTTATTTTGCATATCATTAATTCTCAACAGTACAATGACTACAAATTCTATTTTGATAAAATTTGTATAAAACTCGTAAAATATTCGAATTACCGTAAAACCATCGATTAAAATCGAAACGAAAATGACGAAATCTATAGAATTATTTATTACTGTATTTGTTTACTGTAAAAACACGCAATTCGAAATGTGACAGCAGTTACAGATTATTGTAGAAATATCTAGAAAACAGGACATCGCGTCAACACATAACAATTCTTACTTCTTAAATTTTGTACTTTTCAAAATTAAACAAAGTAAATATTATTGTCAAAATCTGATAAATATTAAAAAAATATTAAAATGTAACAAATTCATACAAAAATATTGTTAATTCTATAATACAGAACTACTCCAATGAAAACAATAATAATAAAAAAATACTTGAAGGCTACTAAGCGAATGATGCAACGAATTGTCAAAATTGAATACAACATAAAATTCTTTTAAATTCATCAATTACTTTACATTATATTTTGAATTTAAAAAAATATAAATAAAACAAACTGTGATTTTACTTTCACGAAAACAAAGTATATTTAAGCCTGAAATTCCAAAAATATCATTCATACTATAATTTTTTTTCTAGAATTGAATTGTGTGTTAAAAGATAAGGTATATATTTTTACATTAAGAATGAACAGTCATAAATCGTTGAAAACTCAAAACAAATTACTGCATAGAAATATGTACATCTGAAAAATTTATACATTAAGAATCACGAATTGATTCTCGCGTTTGGCGCGAAATATCTGTGTTTATAATATTTAATGTATACATGTAAAGTTCATTAAAAACTACTTACTACCACAAGATTTCAAAACCATCCAAAAACTATATACACTCTGCTATTCTTCTGTTTTGTTTTTTTTTTTCTTTACGTAAGAGCAATGAGCTCCTACAAAGAGGAAAACACACTCTCTCTGCGCTTATTTGAAAGATACTGTAACGGTGCGTTTGAAATAAGCGAGCGAACACTCATTCTTCCCCCACTATGATAAGATTCAAACGTACACGAGCATTCTTTCGCCGCTCGGATGTCTAAAGCGAACGAATGCTCTAACAATATGAACATTTGCTCGTAGAATCAATTCGATACAATTTAATTCGTCACAATTCGACTCCATGCGATTTAATTCCATATGATTTGATTTAATCCGATGCGATTTGATTCAACAGGAATCAGTTCGATAAAATTCAAGTTGACGCGATCAATCTAAACAACTCAAAGTGATTTAATTTAACGCGTTTCAAATCAACACGGTTCAATTCCCTCTACTTAGCATTTAGATGTCCGTATTTTTTATTTGAATTACTTAATATGAACAAACAACTTGTTCAATAATCATTTGCACCAAATGAACATATATGAATGTTCTTGCTCTTACTTTTACTCTACGTTTTTGTTCGCTTAAACCACGATCGTACAAATGTATCTTACACTGCTTTGTGAATCGTCGCGAATGAGTAATACCCGAATCACTACGAACACGTACGAATTCGAACGAAGTGAACATGAAATGATATCAACAATGTACAAAAACCTTTTGTCAATAAACACACTGTTTTTCAATGTTCACAAATTAGCTACTTAAGATTAAAGTTCAAATTAAGCTTTATCATATTCACGTAATACCCGTTATTGCAAAACTTAAATAAATAAAATGGCATATAAAAAAATAAGACAATGTCCAATTTAAAATTCAATTTTTCAAATATGAAATAAACATTGTAGTTAACTGTACTTTTTGTACAATTCCAACTATCTAATATTATTTTCATTTTAATCATAAACGATAAGTCAGGACTCTGAAATGAACTCTTCTCTTAAAATATAGTACCAAACTACTTATAAACGGAACAATACTCGATTCATAGCATGTCTTCATTAAATATGAAGTTTCCAATATAACATCAAACAGTCAAAAACAATCTATGTAAATAAATGCATATCATAAATTTTTTCATTTCCACCATTTTGTTTAACTTAGACATTCGAATATACTTATTTTCAAAATTAATTGTAAAAAGTATTAAAAATTTTTATGAAAAACTTACCCGGATGCGTCCGAAACGCTTTCACGTTAATGGATCACCCAATCTTGGCTTTTTCTCGTATTTGACGGTACAAATAGGAAATAGAATTACAGACAGACTATTCGGTTTGACAGTTGTTCTAACAATAAGAAATGGCGGAGCCGTGTACATTCAGCTGATCATTACGCGTCATTGCACGCTCATGCGTAACAAAAAGTAGTCCCTCTATGAACGTAAATAAATTTGCATTTTCGTAAACAAACTCATTTTGTTTATTTTTATCGGTTTCAAGATAATCTATATAAATCTCAAATAAAATTACATTTATTTATTTAATACATTAACATTTATTAGTTTCATATTAATTCAAATTCAATTTAATTATTAATACTTATAGACTTATGAAATTTAATATCTTCAATTTATTAGAATTCTAGAAATTTCAATTCAACGCTTTATATCCAACGTAATTCTTTTGTTGCATTTATTTATTTCTATATTGTACAAAATTTATAAATTAATAATTTAGATAATATTAAATAATTACATAGTTAAAAACTAAAATTGGAAACTTTTTTTATAATAGAGTAAATTAAGACATGTTCTCGTGATGTTATTTAATTAATACTTGTTTAGTACAGTTTATAAGCTAACTTCAGCTGATCGTGACAGTAAATATATTATAATTGTTATATAAGTTTATCATTTGACCAATTATATTATTTCATCATTTTTACATATTTATGAATTAAACAAATTATAATTCAAGTATTTAAAATATGCTATCAACAATATTTTTGACATAGATTTTTTTTAAATTAAATGTTTTTAAAATTTCATTCAGAGAAATATCGCATTTCTATAAAAATAATATAAGTAACTTTATTATTTTGCTGTATATTAAATACAATGTATAACAAATACAAATGAAATAAATTCTTCATCTACTATCATCAGTGGATTTACGCTGATTCATTTCTATCTGTATATCCTGTTCTTGCTCTAATGCTTTGACAGTTGCTTCTAATGTAAATAAATGTTCATCGTATATACCTGGAGCAATTATACGCATTGCAGATGCTAATTTATGTAAATATTCTGTGTTAGCCCCACTAGGACCATGAGATACAAGTATCTGTTTCGCAATTACATGAATATCTTCTACACCTGCATAATTTGGATTATCTTCCCCTCCTATGTAAATTGTAATATAAAATGGTGTAAGATCCGACGATATTGGTAATAACTTTTTACTTTCAAAATTAGTTTGAAAACTATTATTTGTTAATAAAAATGATCCAATATCTTCAATTGAATAGGATGGATAAAAAAGTACGCTTTTTCTTTCGTAACCTCCTTTTTCCCTGTAGTCCAAATGTTTTACAACTGTATCTATGTTATGGGATGATATTTTGTATGCAACACCCCATACTTCATCATTAGGATTATCGGAAGAAAGTAGCGTGACAACACGACCAGGCTATAAAATAATTTCAGTATATTTTGTATTGTTTCTAATATAAAAACTATTGTTTTTAAATTAATATAAAAATAATTAGATACATACCCTATCAGGTACACCTCTGTGATCTGTACTTTTCTGGTAAAATCTTCTAATATATCCTTTAATGTGACCAACAAGAATTTCTTCGTATGGAAAATCGGCTTTCCAAATAAGTGAACCATATCCAAATACCCACATTATCGGTTTTATAATTAAATACCAATAACCTATACGAATTTAATTTATTATCTAAAATGATACTTTTTGGTAAACGTATACAAAATTTAAATAAAACATTATTTTTTAAATACTTGATATTGTATCCACATTGTATTACTAAATAATTTATAAATTATTTAGTAAAAATTTGATAGAAATTTAATAAAAAGCGTAAAATATTTTATACTGACATTTTGAATAACAATTCAAAGTGATTGAATATAATCGTTTAGATAAAATCACGAATTTTTAAAGATTATAAGTACTTGGTATATAATACGTATGTCTATATGTTTTAAATACAATTTTGTTTAAAATAATATTAGGCATAATAATTAGCACGTGCATTTCAGACAGTTTACGTTGCTCACATGGACTACGTTTCCATCGAGGGTCCAAATCGGGTCAGAGTTGGGTTAGAGTCGGGTTAGAGTTAAGTTGCCTTGCCTGTTTCCATCGGATCAGAGTTACGTTGGGGTTGGAGTTGGGTTGAACATTACCAACTGCACAAAATCAACTACCATATTCTGACATGTAAAGCTGAGCAATATTAATTTTA